AGGCAGGTACATTTGAACTGAGGAGTAGCTGGGATAAGAAAGAAGGGAAGAAAATCTGAGTCTGGGAGTCTGGTGGAAAAATAGGGAAGATTATGGCGGCCTCTATCCAAATAGAGGCCCTGGCAAGGGCTCTGACTCTGAAATCTCCCCATCTCCACCCCTATTCCTTTCCCTTCCTCCGGACTTGCCTTTCTTTTTCTGTCTCCAGATTTGCAACTCAAGAAAAGCAATCTATTTCTCTCTAGATCTAATTTATCCCTCCATAAAATCACAGTGATGGGCTAAATTACAGTTGCTACCCTCGGACAAGTCATCAGCATTAAAGATTCCCAGGTTGAGGAATGTTCCCTTAAAGTCCCAGTGAAACAAGTCATAGGGTAAGGAGACAGAAACCCTTTTAGATGAGTCAGGGATGACCTGAAAAAGAAACAGGTTTTGAATCAGTCCCCTAACCCAGATTTAGCAAAAATGACATGGGTTTCAAATCCTGCCACCACGAATAGTAAGTATTCCCAACAGGTACCAAGAGCCACGTTAGGTTCATGCTGACTTCTTGGAAAAGGTTAAACACCAAATCTTATATATCCAAACCCTATGTGATTTTGTCTCACTTTAAAAAAAATTTCCAAATACTTTCACATACGTTGCCTCCCAACAACAATGTCATATATCCATCTATACACACCTAGAAGCGATATTAGAGTAACGGCTGTAACAGACTGACCCCAAAATACAGTGACTTAAAGGGAAAGGAACATTTTTTTTTTTTTTAATATTACAGAACTGGCAAAGGAGTTCTATTCCACATGATCATTCAACACAGTGGGGAAGGAGAAGGCTCAGAAAAAAACATACCTAAAGTCTTTTTTTTTTTTAATTTATTTATTTGACACAGAAAGACACAGCGAGAGAGGGAACATAAGCAGGCGGAGTGGGAGAGGGAGAAGCAGGCTTCCCGCTGAGCAGGGAGCCTGATGCAGGGCTTGATCCCAGGACCTGAGATCATGACCTGAGCCGAAGGCAGACACTTAACGACTGAGCCACCCAGGCGCCCCCATACCTAAAGTCTTAAAAACCAGTTCAGGGAGTGGTACATTTCACTTCCACACGTATTCTATTGCCTCACTCAACTGCAAAGTAGACCGGGACATGTAATCTAAGTAGGTGGACATCGGGGCGCCTGATGTGGTTCAGTCATTAAGCGTCTGCCTTCAGCTCGGGTCATGGTCCCAGGGTCCTGGGATCGAGCCCCACATCGGGCCCCTTGCTCAGCGGGAAGCCTGCTTCTCCCTCTCCCACTCCCCCTGCTTGTGTTCCCTCTCTCGCTGTCTCTCTCTCTCTGTCAAATAAATTAATTAAAAAATAAATTAATTAATTAAAAAATAAATAAATAAATAGGCGGACCTCTCCCCAGCTTCAAGAGGGAATAATTTTCATAGGTAGATAGGTTGATTCAGGTTCAGATTTAGATTTAGTTTTGGTAGGTTCTATTATTTCCTCAACTTTTAAAAAAATGAGGCTTAGGCTCATAAAAGATACAAAGCTTCCCTAAAGTTTTACACCTACTACATGGACAACTGAAAGACTCCAGCCTAGATCTTCTGAGTTTAGGAGGGCTTCACATGCCATATAACACCATGGAGGGTTTTTGAGGAAGAAGTTATGCAATGCAATGTTATTTTAAGAAGATAATTAGTCAGCATTGTGAAGGGTGAACTGTAAAAAGAAGAAATGAAGATATAGAGGTATAGAAAGAATCCAAGCCGAACTCAACAAATGGCTGAATTTAAAACGGTGGCGATTACAAGATGAAGATTATTAGAGCAGAGGTTCAGAATTCAGGGCCCGTGGAAAGGCCTCCATATCGTCAAACTCATGAGTCACTTCACCGGCATTTTACTGAAGCTTCTCGAGGTTCTCCTCCCACCTCTCTGGCCCCTCCTTCTCAGTCTCCTTGGCTGCTCCTCCACTGATACCCATCCCTAAACATCAGCTGACTCCAGGGTTTGTTCTCAACCCTCTTCTCTACTCACCTTACTCTCCCCACTCCCTGCCCCCCCAAAGCTGTCTCATCTAGTTCCTTAGTTTTAAATTGCATCTTATCAGTTATCTCTTACACAGTAAATTTATATAACACACCACCCAAAACACAGTGTCATTAAACAATCAACATTCACTGAGCTCACGACTGCAGATTGGCCTGGTGGTCCTGCCATCTTTGACTGCACTTACATACTCTCTGGGTGTCCCCTGGCTATAGACCGATATCGAATGGCCTCCACTGGGATGACCAGGCCCCTCAAGTCTAACACACATGTCTTTCATCTTTCAACTGGCTAGTCTAGGATTGTTCCCATGATCATAAAAGAGGGCACAAGTAAGCCAAGCCACGTGCCTTCAAAGCCTTGGCTTCCATCATGTTTGTTAACATCCCATTGGCCATTAATGAGAGGGCAGGGCAAAGGACACTGATAGGGAGAGATGAAGAATTGGAGCCATTCTGGAGTCCTCCACAGATTTATATGCAAAGCCTCCCCATTTTATTTATCTGAGTCCTGATCTCTTCTGAGCTCTAGACATGTATGTCAAATGGCCTAATGGGACAGTGCAACTGAGTATCTCCAGGCATTTCAGACAGCATATTTAAAATTGAACTTTTCTTTTCTATCTGACTCTCAGTAACACCTCCATCTTCTTCCCTGTAACTCTTTCTCTTATAAGGACACTAGTTACTGGATAGGGCCTACCCCAATCCAGAATGACCTCATTTTAACTTGATTACATTTGCAGAGACCCTATTTCCAAGTAAGATCATATTCACAAGTACTAGGGGTTATGACTTGACTATCTTTTTTGGAGGATACCATCCAATCCATAACTGTCATGCTATCAACAGAACATACTGAGTGATAAAAACATGGACTTTGGAGTCCAGACTACCTTGATTTGAACACCAGGTCTGTTCTCATTGGCTGTGTGATCCTAGGCAAGCCACATAAACTCTCTGAGCTTCAGTTTCCCCATCTGTAAAATGTGGATGGGTATAGCATCTATATCATAGAGATAATCTGAGGATTAAATGAGTTAATGAGTACAGTGCCCAGAACATAGTAACACATGTGTGTTTATTAGATAAAATAAGTTCTTCACCTGTTCATTTTCACACCTCAGCTTAAATGTACTTTCTTAGACAGGCATTTCCTGATTTCCCCTCTCTTCAAACATAATTCATAATTTTTTATTCACATGTGTGGGGGTCTTTTGCTTTTTTTTTTCACACAAACACAAAAAGAAAACAGATTTATTGAAATGTCTACTCTACCAAAAAGAAAAAAAAAAAGAGGAAGTCCAGGTTAAATGAAAATAGAAAAAATAAAGCATTATAATCATGCATAGTTGTTAAAGATGGGCTCTCTCTTTTCCCATTAGACTCTAAGTTCTGTGAGGGCAGACTGTGTCTATTTCGTTCACCACTCTATTCCTAGCACCAACAAAACGTTTTGCATACGATGAATGTTAGATAAATATTTGTTGAATGAGTAATTGTGAAGGGTTCAAGCTAGCAATTTAATTACTATGAATTTACGGGTGCTTGATTCTCTCCCTCCATCTCTCCCCCTCTCCCCTTCTCTAGGAAGCTTGGGAAAAGAATCAGTGTTAAATTCATAACATCCAGATTAGGTTTGGTCTCTTTCTCTCTGTAGCTTCACAGAAGAATGGAGATGTCTTACCCAATGGTTTTCGAGGAAAACCTACCCCCTAAAAGAGAGAAGAGAAAGAAGAGCAACATGGTGCCAAGTGGCAGGAGAGCAAAAGGATAAGTGCATCAGTAACAATCACAGTGTATGAAGTCACCAGGTGGCAATTCAATTCGAAAAACCGATCTCAACTAGGTATGAATTCATATGCATTAGTAGGAATTTGTTCTGTTTACAATAACCATGGGCAAGAGGGGATTTGGGGGAGGAACACAAGCATAGCTTGTTCCAAAGAAACTGCTGGCTCTTCTTCATTGTTCAAGAGAAGTCTGGCTCTGCCAACAAGTAGGTAGATGAGATCCAGGTTATGCCATTTCTATCTACGGAAGCAAACAAACAAATAAAAAAACCCCGATACCTCATCCTCCAGGTAACAAAGGGAGCCTGAAAACTCACCCAGACCTCATTACTTGGTCTCCAGATTGGGGTGCTCCCTTTGCATCCTGGATCCTAATGTACCTTTCACCATATCTGTTGCCAGTATAAATCTAAAGGCTAGTATTTTTGATGTTGTGTAATAGGTATTTTAGATATATTAACTCATTTAATCTCCCTACAACACTATTATGTGGGTAGCATTATCCAAGGTGACAGTGAATAGGTGGTAGAGCCAGGATATAATTATGACTGATAATTCTAAGGTTCATAGTCACTTTGCCAGAAGGGCCTGACTTGCAATCTGACACCTTTGAGGTCATTAGTAAAACCTAGTCCAGCAGTTTCTTAAATCGTGGTCCGCTGACCGCTCCATCAAAATCACTGGTGGTCTTTGTTAAAAATTCAGATTCCCTGGCTCTAAGACGGAAGGAATCAAGCAGAGGGGTGGGTGTCAGGAATTTGTACTTTTGAAAAGCACCTCCGAGTGATTCTGTCGCAGGGCATTATGGACGCAGATGATTCTTATGCATGAGGACCACACGCCTGGGCTTCGGGTATTATCGAAAGATGACAACATACCGCCCGGGCGGACTTCAGCCCAGCTGGGCATCCTCTAACCGAATCTGGTCCCAGAGCCGCCTCAGTCTGCAGCCTCAAGGAACTGAGCACGCGCAGTACTTTAGCTCCCAGGCGCTGGGCGGGGCTTCCTAAGACCCCGCCCCCTCGGTATCGGCCGGCGCCGGGGGCGGGGCTCTCCTTAAGCTACCTAATTCCGGCGTCTCCCCGCGGTTGTCCAGAGCCCCGCCCCCGAGTCTGGGACCAATCAAATGCCAGGTTGCTGAAGCTCGGGGCCAATGCACAGGGCCGTCCTTTATTCCTCTCTGCAGTTTGAAACTGTCAGGTTGCTGCCAAGGTAGCCGCGGTACCGCTGTTGTTTCGCCGGAGACGCGGCGACGAGACGGGGAGGCAGGCATCCGGGTTTGTGGAGAGCAGCGACGGTGGGTAGCGGCGCCGCGGCGGGCCTCGCGTCCCCGGCGGAGGCAGTGGAGTGGGGTTGCAAGTGCCACGGCTCGGGTTTCCGCTCCCGGGACTCGTACACCACGGAGCAGGGGGCGTCTTCCCCGAGACATGGGCTGTGTGCTCCTCTGCGGGTCGACAAGGTGCAGAAGTTTTCCCTCCAAGGCGTCCGGGAAGAGGGCAGGAATGAGGGGTACTTGAAGTATATCGGTGACTGTCGCCATAGGTTCCGGTCGTTTAAAACGTAAGGGGAAAAGTAACCCTGGCTAACGCTTTAAGTAAGAGTTTGAGTCAAACAAGGGTGGGCAAGAAGGTGATCGAAGAGAACTTCTAGCCCTTTGGTTACTCACAACTGCTGTCCTCCTCTGCTTCTAGTCCCTTACGTGGGGCGGGGCTGGCGCATCCCCTCTCCAGCAGCTAAGATGGGTGAAGAGCGCAGAGACGTCACCCTGCTGCCAGCTTGCACGTTAATTCACCCTTCCTTCCTCTGTCTCTGGGGGTTACATTTGAATTCCCGGACCCCTCTCTCCTTATCAGCCAGATATTTACCAAGACGTAATTTGATTTCTTTGGCAATCGAGAAGTACCCACAACTTCTTATCTCGTGGTTTCTGGTACCTTGGGTTAGAGAATATTGGAAATTTAGCCAACTGATTAACATCTGCCACCCATTAAAGCAAGCTTCATTTTTTTTTTCTCCTTTCTTTCTGAACCTAGAAACAGTAAGAAAATGCTACGGTTGTAGAGTTTCAAAGAAACTGTCGTACCTTGCTGGCATCAAAGCAGGGCAGATGGAAGACTTATGGCATATTTTCCAAAAATACAGTAGTTGTTTTATGGCTGCAGTATCTATTCAGAGACTCTTTGAAGTCAGACCCAACTTTTCAGCTTGTTTTTTGAGTAATCAGCACCAGCCCACTTCCGCTCCTACTATCTACTCGGTATGCAAATACATCCTAAAAGAAGTGAATGAAAATAGAAATGAACCAGGCCACGGATTTGGATGTCCGTGAAGCAGCCCTTCCTTGCTGGGCATGTGTGTGCTTATTTTATCCTCCCTAATTGGCTTAACTAAAGACAGTCATGCTGCGATTTAGTTTACTTATCACTTGTGTACACAGTAATACTCATTGAATAAAGCTAAGTTTCCATGAACAAGTCCCAACCTATGTTTCCATTCTAATATTGTACTTTTCCCTGTATCTGCCCTTTCTACTTCAGTTTCCTTATCTCATTTATTTTTCAGGCCGCTGTGATTGAGACCTGTTTCACCTTCCGCTGAAATTGGTTGGATAAATAAACGCAACTTCCTTCCTGCCATATTCAGGAGACCCCAATTTTCATCTTTCTTTGGCATCTGACTTTAAGCACTCCTTTCCCCAAGTTTTTATGATTTTCTTTCTGATAATTCTACCATTCTGACCTCCTTTTCTGCCTCTGCTGGCTCTTCACTTCCCCTTTAAATGTTAAGTGTTTCTAGTTTTTAATCTCTTCTCACTACAGTAGTAGGACTTTAACTTTATTAGGGTTATAGTCCCCTCTGAACACATATTAGAAGCTAAGGATCCCCTTACTAGAAAAACACACATGTGCATTTATACTAAAAATATTGCATATAATTTGGGTGTATGGACCTCAGAATAAGAACTCTTTTTCACACTCCTTTTCATATGTGATCTTATCCTCTCCCATTTTCAGTATTTCCCATTATGCTGATGATTCCTCAAACTTTATCTCTAGCCTGTACCTCCAGGACAGAGCTCCCTCATTGCTTAACTCCAGAAAGCACCATTCATATTGTAGCCATTGTGAAGGGCAGTATCTGCGGCTTCACTTCAGTGCCTCACAGGTGCCTCACACCCAGCTCATCTGTTACTGAGCCCATTGTCCTTCCCTCCAACCTGCTTACCTTCCTACATTTCTTGCCTTGGAGGGTGGCACTATTATCCATCTGATTACCAAGCCAGAAATCTGGAAGCCGTCAACATTACAAACAAGGCTTATCATGTCATCACTTGTTTAAAACATTTCAGTAACATCTCTAGAGTAGAGACCACATGTTTTTGACCTGACATAATCCTGATTTTCCATGTTCTGGCTGCCCCTTACCTTGCCTGTTCCATCCTTAGCCAAGCCTTGCTCTGCACCCTTTGCTTCAGCCTTACAGGCTACTTTTGTTCCTGGTATACATGCCCGTGCCTCTGTGTCTTTGCTTCTGCTGCTCTAATGCACGTCCTTAACATCTTTTATCTGTCTGGCACATCCTTAACATCTTTGTCTGTCAGGTCTCAGTACCCGGTTCATCTCTTCAGTGAAAACCTACTCTGGCTCCATTCCCGCTTCTTCACCCTCATGATCCCACCCCATGAAAAATAGCTACTCCTTCCTCCCTGCTGTGTACCTCTGTTGTTTTAGGGTCTACTAGCATTTTTTTATTTGTTAGTCATTTATATTCTATATATGTCTGGCTGTCTCGACAGATTATAAAGTCCATGAGGACAGGACTTCATCTTATATTTCTCACCATTGTCTTCCATGTAACTGGTGTTCAGATAGTTTGAATAGTTACTACTTGTCCTTTATTTTTTTTTAAAGATTTTTTATTTATTTGAGAGAACAGAAACAAGCAGGGGGAGTGGGAGAGAGAGAGGGAGAGAGAATCCCAAGGAGACTCCACACTGAGTGCCCAGTCCCAGGACCCCAAGATCATGACCTGAGACAAAACCAAGAGTCAGACGTTCAACTGACTGAGCCTCCCAGGTGCCCCACTACTTGTCCTTTAAATATATTTATGTGTTACTAAAAGTGCTTGTTTTATTTTTTTGGTTAAGACTTTCAACAATTTTTCTATGGCATATAAGAATCTGTTGTTCTGAATAGTCTTGCTTTCCTTAAAATAATATTCCTGAATTGTAAGTTTCTCAAGCAAAGAATTTGCACAAATTGTTCATTCTCTCTTGGTTCAGTATCTTACAGGAAAACATACAGCACACAGGTTGCCACACATTGCTCAAGAACACTGATCATGGGGCGCCTGGGTGGCTCAGTTGGTTAAGCATCTGCCTTCGGCTCAGGTCATGATCCTGGAGTCCCCCGATCAAGCCCTGCATCCAGCTCCCTACTCAGTGGGAGGCCTGCTTCTTGCTTCTCTCTCTCCCTCTGCTCCCCCCCACCCCCCGCCCTCGTGCTCTCTCTCTCTTGCTCACTCTCCCTCTCAGATAAATAAATAAAATCTTAAAAAAAAAAAAGAATATTAATCACAATCGATTATTCTCAACAGACCCCATTGTGGATGTGTCTGACAAACTCCCATTTCTCTTTAACCTTTCATATATTTGTGTTATCTCCTTGACTACATTAAAAACTCACTGATGTTGGGAATTGAGTCTTTTACTATTTTTTTCCTTGCCTAGTTATTTTGTGGGTGCTCAATATGTTGAGTGATTTTAATATTTCACAGGATTATTGTTTACAGGATAGGATGTGTATCTATATCTATAGAAAACATGTTATTTTAGTTTAAATATCAAGTGAGTTTCTATTGTGTTATAGTTTATGCAGAATGTCATCAGATGAGGAGAAAGGCTCACTTCCTGTTATACAGAATGGCTCTGACCGGCGCAGTTCTGTGTCTTCAGATCTTCAGGTAGGAAGACATGTCTAAATTTGTTGTGGCTTATTTACTTTAAGCAAGGGACAATATGAGGGAAAACTAGGAATACATTTTTCACTTATTCATGTAAATTTACATTTATAATTATGATTTGTGTATAGTGTATATCAAATTATACTAATACCAAATGTCGAGAATTACTTCACAGACTTTGGGACATACCTTACGTTGTTTGAACCTTTCAGAAAATAATCAGAACTCTTCAAACACTCTTCGTGCAGAAGCTGCAAACAGCACAATGAGAGAAGCTGGAAATCTCAAGAATTTTTTTTTTCTTGAGGTTTTTTCATGGTAGCTATCTCTTCTGAATGCTGCATTCGCTTTAATGCAAATTAGTACAATATCAAACCACCCAGAGTTCTGGGGACTTAGATTCCCTCGTGTTCTACTCGAGGTTCTAATCCCTGTTGCTACAACGTTCAGCACATTCTGTTGCATAGGACCTGGACGGTGACAGATAAATGGTGTGGTTTTTACATGAACTGTTTTAAATTTCTTTTTATTTCTAAATGTTTTATTATCAGAAATATGGATTCAGATTTCTAGAATAGATTTTAAATGAGAGAGTTTGATATGGTATATCTTGAGTTTTATAGTTCTGTCACTTACGAGGGGAAAAGCTGGACATTATGTTTTTGCCTAAATAAGAGTAAGTTGTTTTTGACAGTGTGTAATATGAGAAAAGTTTTAGGAAGATATTTTATGAAACATATATGTTCCTTTAATTGAAATTACAGATTTAGAAATGGGAAGCTCTTGGAAAAATACCTGTGACTATTTACTAGGATAAAAGTAGTCTAGAACTGTGACATAGATGTTTCATCCTTGCTTTCCCTTTGGATGTACTTCTACTAGTGCTGTCTTTTAAGGTAACAGTGCTTTCCTGCAGTTTTTATCTCTGACTTTTCCAGACTTCCTTCAGGAGAGAACTGATTAACTCATCTATACTTGTGATTGACTTATAATAAATGCATTTTGGTTTTCATCCCTTTTTTTTGCACACAGTTTCAAAAACCTTTGAAATTTCCTAAATAATAAGAGTGATAAATGTGTTTGTTATGCTAACGAGTTGTCTTTTGGACCCCACCTAAGGATAGAGGCTGGTTGCTGAGGAGCCAACCACATGTTCAGAGGGTTGGAACTTTTAGTCCTCCCCACCCTGAGCTCCAGGAAGGGGAGAGGGGCTGGAGATTGAGTTCGGCCACCAGTGGCCAATGATGTAATCAATTGTGCATGTGTAATGAAGCCTCCGTAAAAACCCAGTGGAAGAGGGTTCAGAGAGCTTCCAGCTTGGTGAATGCACAGAGATGCTGGGTGACTGGCTAGGAGAAGCCATGGAGGCTCTGCCCCTCTTCCCCATACCGTGTCCTGTGTCTCTTCCATGTGGCTGCTCTGAGTTATATCCTTCTATTATAAACTGGTAATCTAGTAAGTAAAATGTTTCTCTGAGTTCTCTGGGGTGCTCTAGCAAATTAAACCTGGGGAGGGGGATCTTTGGAACCTCCAGTCTGTGTAGCTGGTTGGTCAAAGGCTTAGTTAATGACTTAGACTTGCTACTGGTGTCTGAGGTTTGGGTTGGGGGAGGTGAAGTCTTATGGGACTGAGCCCTTACTCTGTGGATTCTGATGCTTTCTGCAGTGGATAGTGTCAGAATTGAGTTGAATTGTAGGACACTCATCTAGTGACTGAGAATAGTTTGTTGCTGGTGGGGAAAAAAACCCCACAGATTGTCGTTGTTGGGTTTAGAACGCTTTAAAAAATGTAAACACCTTGTAAGTTCTCAAGTTGTCATTTTGTCAGGAGACAAAGCTTTACATCGAAAGAACAAATCTCCAGAGTAGAATTTGAGAGAAACATGACAAAAATAATTTTGTGTTACTGGTTACCTGCTTAGAATGTCAACCGAACTGAGATTCTGTTTATTAGTAACCTTCAGCTACCCTCAGCCACAACCCCATTAGTTTTCAATGACAGTTGAAAACCTGCCTATATTTCCATCACTGGAAACATTTCAAAATATAAATACCAAAAATGTTAAAAATAACATAAAATAATTATATGCTTTTACATATATAGTAAATACGTAAAACTAAACATTTAATACTAAAGCCCCTTATAAATCAGTATTCCTTCTAAGGGAGTTTTCTTCACTGTCTCAATTATGTGAATGATTCATAAAAGTATCGTTGATAAATGCTGAGGAATGGGCAGCATCCATGGTACTTACTGACTGATAACTTCCTCTAAGCACAACTCCACACTGTCAGCCGGTTGCCCTGACCTTACGTGGTGTGTATGGGTTCAGCTATAGTTCAGGGTGACACCAGTCCCAACTGTTGTTGGTGGGGAGCAAAATTACAAGTTTTGGTTGTTCCTGGGGAGCAAAATTACAAGTTTTGGTTGTTCCTTTAGGATTCTTGTTTACCTTAAGACAGGTTATCTTTGACAAGTAAGAAAGACAATATTATTTATTTTGATCCTTAAATAAAAAATAGCGTATTTGGCCCATATCTACATATATGAAACTAAAATAGTTGTTTAAATACCTGATATTTTAATCTTACCTAAGATAAGCTAACATACATACATAGAATACTGTTAATATATACCTACTTACTTCTCCCTTAAGTCATAGTGATTGTTGTGGAAGCTTTGAAATATATGTTTGGTTTTTTCTTTTTTTTTTTTCCTTTTCTGATCCAGAACAGAGGACGGATTAGGGAAGCTACAAGTTAAAGCCACTGACTTTTACTTCCCCTCCCTTTATAGGCAGGAAGTTGTAATAAACTAATTCTGACTGAGCAAAGCTGATTTGGCTAAATCTAGTTATAATCGCCACCAACTAAAAAGTTAATTGACCTCAAAATACAAATACAGGATAGCCACTGTATTAGTTTGCTTGGGCTGTCATAACCAAACACCATAGACTGGGTGGCATAAACAACAGAAATTTATTTTCTTGTAGTTCTGAATGCTGGATGTACCACAGCAAAGTCTGGCAGGGTCCGTTTCTGGTGAGCTCTCTCTTCTTGGCCTACAGACAACTGCCTTCTCGCTGAGGCCTCCATATGGCCTTTCCTCGGTGCGTGTGCATGGGCCGAGAGAAAACTCTTGTCCTCTCTTCCTAGGACACTAATCCTGACATATCAGCACCCCACCCTTATGACCTTATGTAACCTTAGTTATTTTAGAGGCCCCATCTCCAAATACAGCTGCTCTGGGGATTCAGGTTTCAGTATATAAATTTGGGGAGGACACAGATATTCAGTGCCTAACAGCCACATTTTTCTATGTTCTTAGCCAAAATCAAGTTTATTTTGGCTGTTTGGGAAGTATAATAGGGTGTTATTTTGGCCACTTTAACAGGAATCAAATAAGAGTTGCTTAAGTGAATTGCTTCAAAGCCTGAGCTGATATATAGCCTCTTGTAAGTCAGAGCTGATAGAGAGTCCTGAGTTCATCTGAGGACCCAGCCTCTTTCTCGTGTTGCTCCGCCATGCCCGGGGCTGTTGACCAGGTTTGCATCATCGGGTGCTAGCTCACCACCACCTCTAACCCGTGGGAAGAGCTGAGTCGTAAGCAAGCAGCTTCCTTTCCAAGGACATAACCTGAAGTTGTACATATCATTTCCACCCAGATCCCATAGACCAGGTCTCTTGGCCATACCTGCTGGAAGGGCGCTTGACAAATGCTGCTGCATGGCCAGTAACAATCTCCTAGGTCAAACCCTGAGGTTTTAGTAACTTAAAGGAAAAAAGGGAAAATGGATGCTGCTGGACTGTTAGCCTTCTCTGTGGTAGGGAGTTACTGAACTTGAAATTTTATATATTTTGTTAGGACTGACTCATTCAGTTTTATGGAAACCAGTAGATTATCTTGTGTATGGCTTCAATTTATCAAACGATTTGGCTATTTCCTTTTATTGTAATAACTGGGAAACTGATGTGATTCAGGAAATGTATTTTTAAAATTTAAGATTATTTAAATCTAAAGAATTGTAGGGATGCCTGGGTAGCTCAGTCGGTTAAGTGTCTGCCTTTAGCTCAGGTCGTGATTCCAGGGTCCTGGGATTGAGTCCCACGTCGGGCTCCCTGCTCCGTGGGAAGTCTGCTTCTCCCTCTGCCTGCTGCTCCCCCTGCTCGTGTTCCCTCTCTCGCTGTCAAATAAATAAAAAATCTTTAAAAAAAAAAAAAAAAAAAGAGCCTCCTGCCTCAGTGATAAGGATCGTGTGAAATACTGGCTTTTATTTTCTGTCAGGAAATGGAAGTTTAAAATTCAGACATGTGTTTATTATTATAAAGGGGACATCTCTAACAAAGGAGTTGACTATAGCAATATGAAGGTGATTCTTTTTAAAGATTTATTTATTTATTTTAGAAAGGGTGGGAGGGAGGGGCAGAGGGAGAGGGAGAAAGAATCTCAAGCAAACGCTGTGCTGAGGGGGAACCCACGCAGAGCTTGATCTCATTACCCCGAGATCATGACCTGAGCCGAAACCAAGACTTGGATGCTTAACTGGCTGAGCCACCCAGGCGCCCCAAATTCTGATGATTGAGTTTTCTTTCTAATGATTCTCCCTTTGGAGTATCTGTTTCTCTTCTGCCATTAGCCATGACGTGTAAAGAGCTGTGTTATCTATGTTAAATATGCAGATCAAGGTTGAAACTGAAACCAAGTCACTTCTTTGCATTTAATTACCCTAGAGACTAGCAGTTTTCAAACATCTACCAGCATAAAACCTCTTCTCAAACAATTTTACTTCAAATTCCAATAGGAAAAGGCTAAAGCAGAAATACAATTGTATAAATTTATGTTATAAATGCAGATTTGTGACATTCCTCACAAAGTCAGCAAAAACAATGAAGCTGCTTTTATAAACGCACATTTGACGTTGGTGGATAAAGAAGACCAGCATAGTTTGATAAGCCTAAGTGACCTTTTTGCTTCTATATTTTATTTGGGCTACGTGATATCAAGAAAATTCTAATTCTTAATATAAGCAGTTGAAAATGGAAGCTTTTTTGTTTTGTTTTGAGTATAGTTGACACACAGTGTTGTTAGTTTCAGGTGTACAACATAGTGATTCAATTTCTCTATGCATTATGAAAAATTGGTAGCTTTTTAAATAAACTGATCCAAAGCATAAAAAAGGATTGATAGAAAATGTTTGATTCAATGTTGAATCACCAACAAAATCTGTCGCTTCTTCAAACTTTAATAAATATAAAAATCACAGAAGAAGCACCCAGAAGACTCAAATTTGGAAGAAGGGCTAAAACTCTTTGTATTATGATAAGCGTGTAACACGGTCCGAAGTCGTTTGCTACTGCACAGCTCATCACTCTCATAAGGAGGGACTGGCACCATCAGATGTGCTTGAGCTTGAGTGGTTTGAAATTGATGTGGCCACATGTGTTACAGTGTGTGTTTACCTGTACAGGTTACATGAGCAGAAATGTGTACAGGTGTGACTTCAAAACAAAAGACTTGTGCAGAGCTACAACCATTCTAATCCATGACACGTTTACAAGACTTTGACATGTACATGGATGGCAGAAGCAGCTTTATTCCAACCAACACAAGAATTTAAGAATTTATACTTTTGGGCCTGTTAAAATTTAGCATATATGGTATATCTTTTAGTTCATGCTCCTTTTATTACTGTTTGTAAAAGAGCTAAATAGCTTTAAAAATAAAATTTGAAGAAAACATTGTGGATCCCCTGAAACACTTCTTGGAAACCAGTTTGAAATGCATTGATATTGACTACTGACATGGTATACAAGGTAGTTCCCGCTATAGAACTCTGAGTGCAGTAATGTCTCTTCCTTGGGGAAACACCAGGACACTTATTTCAGTTAACCGTGATATAACCATGGCTCGAAACTTGGGTGTGGTGGGTAGTTAAATATTCTTACTCAGAAAACCAAAGGGAAAAAGGAGGGATTGCTAATTTTCAAGTAACTATACCAACCATATCATAATGGTTTTATTAAAGATAATTCTAGATAGAATTCACTTAATTCACTTCAGCAGGTATTGACTATGACCTTTCAAAGAGGTAGTTTTGAACACTGGTTATCTTCACACTGAAGATGAATCCAAATAATAGAACAGTTATGACTATTGAGATGATAGTTCTCTATCTGAACTAAACTTCTTATGGAGAAAAATTAACACAGAATAATCCTTTAGAATAATAACATTTAACATTCTTGAAAACCTTCCCCCCAATTTTTTTTAATGCAAAGATAATTGTCTGGGTCCGTGCATGAGACTCTTAAAAATGACTCCTTTTAGTAGGAATATTTGTTACATCTTGACCAATCCCTTGTGAATAGAGACTAAATTCCAGTATATTTTTTACTTCACAGATGCCATTTTTTTTAAAAGATTTTATTTATTTATTTGAGAGAGAGAGCACATGAGAGGGGGGAGGGTCAGAGGGAGAAGCAGACCCCCTGCCTAGCAGGGAGCCTGATGCAGGACTCGATCCTGGGACTCCAGGATCATGACCTGAGCCGAAGGCAGTCGCTTAACCAACTGAGCCACCCAGGTGCCCTCACAGATGCCATTTTTTGATTTGGCTAAAGAAATAGCTAAGTATCTATGTTAGGAAATTCCAATTTTTTTTTAAACCTGAGGAATATTCTTGTAAGGTCTACACTTTATAACCTCTATTTTTTATGACTCCTTTCTCATGTGCTGTGAAGGTGTCAGCAGGTAGAGTGGAACAGGTTTGCATTCATGTTCTCTTTTTATCTTCAGTATTTGTTCTCCCAATACTTCCCTTATACTTTTTCCATGCTATGAAAAGAGACTCAGGGTTGTTGCTGAGTGAGTTGTTGGATTGTGGCTGTCATTAAGCAGAGTCAAAACTCCTTTTCGTCCCTAGACTGTCCTAATGTGACGTCTTTGGAGGCAACATCTTTTTTTTTTTTTAAGATTTTTTTACATTTGTTAGAGGGAGAGCACAAGCAGGTGGGTAGGGAGTGGGAGAAGGAGAAGCAGGCTCCCTGCTGAGCAGAGAGCCCAATGCGGGGCTCGATCCCAGGACCCCGGGATCATGACCTGAGCCGGAGGCAGACGCTTAACCGACTGAGCCACCCAGGCGTCCCTGGGAGCAACATCTTCAAACTACGTTTCAGAAAAGCAGAGAAGTGGCTAACCGTGTCTCTGCCCACCTGCAAGTAGCTGCCAACTGAGGGAGGGCTCTTCTGCCTTGGAGCTGTTGATCGGCTTCAGACAAGTTCTCTAGGTAACCTTTGTGTCACCATTGCTAAATTGACATGCTGAAGGAATCTGTACTAAGGTGCTATCACTGGAAGAAATCTGGATAGGTTTGTTGGATTTGTTTTGTGTTAAGAAAGTGCACATTCCTTATGACATGGGAATACTATTTTGAGAACTGAAGTAGAGAACATCTTTAACTGGGCCTTTATTGTTCTTTGCCTGAATGTCCATTGTGACTGTGTTATAATATTCTTTGTTATCGGCTTCTCACAGGAAGAGTACGAAGAACTGCTTCGTTATGCTATCGTGACTCCAAACATCGAGTCAGGTGCTTCACAGCCATGTCATTCTAAGGGAGAGCTGGTACCAGATATGAGGGTTCCTACTATAATTGATGATATTCTTCATAATCAAGGTTATGTATATTTTTAAAGATATCTCCTAATTTAAGATGTTACTAAGCTCATGAATGCTGTTGACTTAGGATTGCAAAAATGCTTCTCCAGTGATTCTTCTCAGTCAGTCCTGTGTCTCACTATCATCTGGGGAAAATTTTTCCATTTTATTATGTTACTCTTGGCTCTTAATGTGACAGCTGGATTTTTATATGAACTTTGACTATTACTTTTATGAAAAATAATAAAGCAACACGGTAGCCATTGTGTGTCTCTCAGTGGAAGTATACTTAATCTCTACTTGTTCCAATTGGTTATATACTAGGCTTATCTTGGAAACTAAGTCCATAGAAGTGGCTAACCACTTAAAGATGGTCCGTAGGTAGCCCTCAGAACCTTTTAAGTTTATGAACCATTGCTAGTAGGACTTTGTTGGCAGCATTTCTATGAGTACGGAAGAGTGTTTGGGTTATCACCACAAAGGTGAGCCCATTTTGGACTATGTCAGAGACAGAATTGAAAGCTAATATATACCAGGAGGTATACTGATAGATGAATGAAAGGTGGAAAAAGGAGGATAAAGCTCCTTTCACCTATCCATTATTTATTCAGTAAAGTACAAGATCCCAGACAGCTCACTCTAAGGAAATATTCCTTAAAAGGGCACGGAAAGCCCTCCTAAGATGGCCCTGGCAATAGGCAGTTATCAACAAAAGGCCTAACTCCAACGATCTCTCCTTGAAGGCACATGACACAGCCTACTCGGAGTCAGCAGGCTCCTGGGTTTCTGGGCGGTTACAGCCCTGGTATTCGGTTCCGCTCCTTCTGTAGACATGAAGTTTTCATTGCTCTTCAGTCTTCAGCCTACTGCACTGGGTCATCAAATAGGGCCAGAACCTCACACTGAAACATGCTAACACTGAATATTTTCTGTCCAAATTTTAATTGATTTCAAGAGATAGGATCCTGGGATTTATTCATTCTACATCAGTGACCTTGACCATGTTTTGATTACACCAGGTACCTCAGCCTGTAGTTCCTACTGAGCAAACCCAAAGTGCTGCATACTGTCTTATAAAATGTGTAAATAGTCAGTCTGTATGTTTGCCCTCTGTGCCTCTACCCTTTTGGTGGTCACCAGAACCTTGTTTCCTTTTCCCCTGGCTGCAGTACTACTGTACTGTTGTTCCCAGTGACACAACAGGGGAGTCCTTTCCTTGCCCCGACTCTCCAGCCTTTCAGGGTCATCACTTGGGATTCAAGACCCCAGTTCTTTTCTAGCATGCAAGATAGGATTTATTCATTACTACTCTGCGTTTTCCACAAAGGGTTTGAGATCTAAGCATACAACATGCAGTGAATTTAGACATCCTGATTCACACGTAGACGTGGTTAGAATTTATAAATTTATCATCCCATTTCCTCCATTGCTGTTCCTTGGTATAAGCACAGTATATGGAAACTGACAAAGTATATATAAGCCTCCAACACAGCCATCCTTGGGAAGTTTTCCCCCGTTTTCTTTTCACCATGTATTGAACAAGGGTTCCTAAGTTGGAAGTGAGGCAGTCCCTGTTCTGGAGGAGCCGGTGTCACTTTAGTTTGATTGCAGCTAGTGAAAAGCAGCAGGCCCCTGGAGATATCTGGTGTTGTAAGATAGAGTAGCTTCTTCTAAATTCTAATGTCATTCACCCACTTAGTCTCTTAGTGCGAATTGAATGCTATAGTAGGCTGAATTCCCTTTCATCTGTGTTTGGTGGGTAAAGTTGAGTTTACTAATGATACAGTAAGACGTTTTCTAGTCTGATTTTTTCTTTCTTCTTATTCTTTGTCTTAGTGTTGCTCTTTCCCCAGCATGTTGTATTTTGCTTGTTCTAAAATCTTAGATACTGTTACCTTCTTAAATCAGGTATGTGCAATTAGGCATTTGATATAAGAGTCGTTTGGTTTAATAAAAATTTTTTTTAATTTTTCTTTTCAGCAGGAAATAGCCCTGCAGTAAGAGAAACAGAGATGGAAGTTGGAAAAGGAGGTGATTTAAATATTTCAGGTCATCTAAAGACAGATGGTATGACTTTTCCTTAGCTTCTTTTTATTCGTATACAACATTGTGTGCTTTGATGAATATTATTTGTGTACTAAGAGGAATAATTTCAGCATATTATTTATTGGCAGGATTCTTAAATGTTGCTGTTGCTAACTTATTAATTAATAACTGTTTAAAATAATTTCATAAAATTCCAAAATTAGTACAGTTGAGACAGGTTAATCTATTACAGTGTGTGGCCATCTTTCTTAAAACTGCTAGGATAGAGGGAAAATACTTTAAAAGAATTGTTGGGATGTCAGAGAGTTTGGCCAGTTTAAATGTTTTCATGAACCAGTGCATTATTTCCCAACATTCAGGCATTTGTGTATGATTTTTGTCCTACCTTCATACCACTTGTTCTATCATTTTGTGTTTTTCTTCAGATATATTGACTTTTAGCTTAAATTCATTAAAAGGAAAATTTGTGTCATTGCTGATTATAGCATAAAACTAATATGCCCTTTTTACAAATAGAAAACATGGTAAAAATAGATGAAACTAAAACAAAATTAGTAAGTTTTGATTGGATATCACTGGTGGTGTTGTGTTCAGCCTGAAGTCTGCTTTTTCTCTGTTGAAAGGCGGGAGGAGCAAGTGTTACAGAGGTTATAAAAGCATACTAGCACCAGACTGAAGCTTTTTCTTTGACACAGAATGTTTAAAATAATTAAAATAAAACACTTTCCTTGCCCTGTGACTCAATGTTATATAATGTTCGGGCCATTTAAGCCACCACATAAGAAATGCCTCTATCCTTTAGTTTCCTCACTTGTCAATAAAAGGCTTGGGCAGTGTAATCCCTGGGGGATGTTTCAAGTTCTTCATTTATGTGATTCTATTTTTTAAAAGGTGAATAAATGTTTAAAAATAAAAAATAAAAAGCAGAGCCTCTTGCTTTTCCCATGAGTGCACATCTTATTGGTGAAATCCAGTGAAAGAGAACATTCATGTACTTTGTCACTCTGCTTTATTCTTTGGGTTTTTTCTTCAGAATATGTAGGTAGTATCTCATAGTTGACTAGCCTAAACCATTTGTTGATAAATTTTTATGCAAAAATATATATTAGAGAATGATTTTCCCTTTCGCAAAGAATTCTTGATGTACTTTTAAGTAACAAGTTCTACAGTAGCTTTATCTTTGACTCATCTCATTCACTAAGGAAGACAGGGAGGCCTTTTATTCTTGATTATTAGCACCCTCATAACAAAAGCAAGATCTGTGAGAAATGGCAATTCCAACCTGCACGTGTGATAAAATAGTAACCTTTTCTAGGTTGTGCTTTTTAAGGTAGATGCCAGTTCTTCTTTTGGTTCTGGCTTTCACCCCTACCTCCATCCCCCACTGTCCCACCATGTATATGGGCAGAGGGTGGGAATTTTATGTATATATGGATATATATATATATAGATACGTATATTTTCACCTATATGTTGAAGGCCAACAGTGTGTCTTAAAACTGATTATCTGATCAAACTAAACTACTAGTCTCTTTCTACTTAGAGAGTTGAATTTTAGTGGTGTTAAAACCCATACCAGTGTTTGACATAAGGTAATAATGACCTGTACACAACCACTGGGACCTCGGTTAGTTGCTTAACCCTTTCTGAACCTATTTCCTCATCAGTAAAGTGGAGATAATAATGCCTGTCTCTTCGGGCAGCATGTATTAGGAGAGCTCATCTTTACAGGAACATAGTAAGCACTTAGTAACTGTTGATATGATGATGTGGATGATAATACCTTCAGCTCAGGCTGGACCTGGGTATATGAAGCATCCTTGATTAGGATAGAGGTCATTTTGGGGGAGGGAGGGTAGGAGGCATCCCATGCTGGTCAGTCCCGAATCAGTGACAGTACTGAAATTACAGTATTAATTTCAGCCTAAGTGCAGTTTAAGAGTAAGCATACTGAAAGGTCATTTCTCTGCATTTTGCTCCACCTCCGTGGGTAACTGACATCTCACCCTCCATTAGAACTCCTTACATTTGGGTTATATCCATCCTCCAGCCTGACCACCACACCTTTCCCTCCTCTTCAGGGTCATCGCCAGTGTCGTCACCGAGGAAGCCCTCACACCCAGTGATGGATTTCTTCAGTTCTAACCTCTTAGGTGACTCTTCCTCACCAGCATCTATTTCTAGTCATGCAGACGTCCATGAAATCGTTGTGAGCGATTTTCTTATTTCGGATGAAAACCTTCAGAAGATGGAAAACGTACTGGATCTTTGGAGTTCAGGGCTTAAGGTATTACACTTGTTCAATTACAGTCGTTTAATATGTAGGGTAACAGTTCTGCTCTTGATCCCACTCTTTACTGTTTTCTTTGAATCAAAAAATTTTGTGAAAAGAATCTTTAGTTTCCTGAGAAGATCAGTCCAATGTTTTAAATCTGTACTTCTCAGTCTTTAATGTCCATACGAATCATCTGGGGATTCCGTTAAGCTGCAGCTTGTTGTTCAGTTGGTCTTGACCAGGGCCCGAGATTATGCAATTCTAACAAGCTTCCAGGTGATTCTGTTAGTTCAGGACCTATACTTTGAATAGCATACTTTTCAATAGTTGCTGGAACAGCTCTGCAGGTTCCATTGCATTTCTCAGATATTTTTAAAAGACTTAGCCTATGTGTGACAGAGACACTTAGTGAACCCTTACCATATCATAGCTGTGACTAATGGAAATGTCTACTTTTATATGAAACACAAGATCCAATTTTAGCAACGTATATTCATTTTATAGCTGCTTTTAGCAACCACAGTGTGTAACTGCTAAGACTATAAAAACTAATTATTTTAGTGATATTATTGGCCTCTAAATAAAACAAAGTATTACAGATATGGATTTTTTTGTGCTATTTAACATATAATGGAGAAATACAGTTTTTCTGAAACATAGTTTGAGAAAAGTGATTTCACATTCACAGTGAAATTACAGTCATGAGAGTTCTATGGCATTTATATTTCTCTATTATTTGGTAACATAAATTCTAGAAATAATCTTTTAGTATAGTTGTTCGCATTTTTCACCCTTGGAACAGGTGTCATACTTCTAATCGTGGTGCAAGTCCAGTGGAGGAGCTACTGCCAGTCATTTAATTTGTTCTATGTTCAGATAATCATATTGTTACCCAGTTTCTTCGATAACATGACTATTTGTGTATTTTTACTTATGCCAGTCAGTAGGGTGAAAAGGGATCAGACTTAGCAATTTGTTGTAAGATGTCCTTTGTGATAAATGATTTGGGGGAAGAAAGCATCAGCCCCCATGGTTTCCACTATCTGCCTCTATCTAAATACCTTCCCATTCCTATGGCTGAGCCTAGGCCATACCCCTGCATTTCTGCTTTCCCTGATCCATCTTAAGATGGACATCAAAGTCCTTGAATAAACAGAGTATCTGTTTACTAGTCAAGGAGACCTGAAATTTTTTTTAAACAACAAGGTTTCATACAAAATAAAATAGGGGAAAAAAATTCATTTCCCTAGTATGGTGAATGTGAACTGAGAAGAGCCATGACTGTTGAACTTGGAAACGTTTTCATTAGTGGTCTTTATAAATAGCTCTTATGTTGATTGCTTGTTCTAATTATTTTTAATATTTCTTAATTTCATTGTAATTTTAAGAAGCAGTGTTACATGTATCATATGACCTCACTGATATGAGGAATTCTTAATCTCAGGAAACAAACTGAGGGTTGCTGGAGTGGTGGGGGGTGGGAGGGATGGGGTGGCTGGGTGATAGACATTGGGGAGGGTATGTGCTATGGTGAGTGCTGTGAATTGTGCAAGACTGTTGAATCACAGGTCTGTACTTCTGAAACAAATAATGCAATATATGTTAAGAGAAAAAAGAAGATAGCAGGAGGGGGAGAATGAAGGGGAGTAAGTCGGAGGGGGAGATGAACCATGAGAGACGATGGACTCTGAAAAACTGAGGGTTCTAGAGGGGAGGAGGGTGGGGGATGGGTTAGCCTGGTGATGGATATTGAGGAGGGCACGTTCTGCGTGGAGCACTGGGTGTTATGCACAAACAATGAATCATGGAACACTACATCAAAAACTAATGATGTAATGTATGGTGATTAACATAACAATAAAAAATTTTTAAAAAGAAGCAGTGTTAAACAAACTGCTTAATTGCTGGTGTATTTATTTTTCAGACAAACATCATATCTGAACTAAGCAAATGGAGACTTAATTTTATTGACTGGCACCGAATGGAAATGAAAAAAGAGAAAGAAAAACATGCAGCACACTTAAAACAACTGTGCAACCAGATCAACAGCTTAAAGGAGCTGCAAAAAGCCTATGAAGTTTCCATTGGGAGAAAAGATGAGGTCTTCACTTTTAAATTTCTTTTTAAGTGAGATGCAGTAAAGATCTTGCTAGGTAATAAATGCCAGGAACTGATTATTTAGGTCATACAGGATACAAAGGGAAGATGTTGTTTCAGAAACTGGAAAAAAAAAAAAAAACAGATGCATAGAAATAAGATACATTCATCCTATTAAACATGCCAAGGTCATGTCATTTAATCTTTGTCACCAACATCAGCGTGCTTAAAGTTTTAAAAGTGCGTGCTAAATGTGGGGACACTGTTTTCCCCCAGTCTTCTAACTGCTCTTAAGAGAACATCACGGAACCAGCATTACCCCCATGTTAAACGATGTTTTTAGGGGCCATTTTAGGTATCTCATATTTTATTTGTGATATTTCTTTATTCATGGATGAAATTTTTTTCCTTTTATTACAGACTCGGCACTTTTTTTTTTTTAAGAGAGAGCTCAAGCGCCCTAGGGGTGGGAGGGACAGAGGGAGAGGGAGAGAGAGAATCTCAAGCAGGTTCCACGCCCAGGGAGGAGCCCAACACTGGGCTCGATGTCCCCACCCTGAGATCATGACTTGAGCCGAAATCTAAGAGTCAGATGCTTAACAGATTGAGCCACCCAGGTGCCCCACACAGAGAGTACTTTTTACTTCACTTTCTTTTAGCCTCTTAAGAATGAGAGAGTAAGGTTCAGGTCTTTGCTAATTTTGTGCTTCCCAGCAGCACCTTCAACAAGCAGAATGGGCAATATATCCACTGCTTCCCTCCCCATCCCCCTCACCCCCACCCAAGGATGGTGGTTTTCAGAGGTGACACCTCAGCTACTTATCTGCAGATACAGCATTCACTGTTTTAATGAGCTAGATAAAGATCATATATTTTTTTAAATGTATATTTATTTTGGTGTTCAGGGTATCATGTAAAATCAAACATTTTATATAGTTTCCTTTTTGGAAACAATAGGTACTAACGTCAGTCGTTTTCTCTATTGCCCTCAAAAATCTGTCCTAAGGTTTTAAAATATTTGATTTGATTTGATTTTAAATATTTTATTTATTTGGCAGAGAGAGACACAGTGAGAGAGGGAACACAAGCAGGGGGAGTGGGAGAGGGAGAAGCAGGCTTCCTGCTGAGCAGGGAGCCCGATGTGGGGCTCGATCTCAGGACCCTAAGATCTTGACCTGAGCCGAAGGCAGACGCTTAACTGACTGAGCCACCCAGGTGCCCTAAAATATTTTAAATATATATATATATATTTTTTAAATTTCAAAGTATCACACACAAGGGTGTACATGTGTCCAGTTTGAAAATGAGTAAGATGAACAGCTGTTTGCCACCATAGAGCTCAAGAAATAGAATATTACTAATGTCTTAGCATGTGTACCCTTTTCCACTTTTGAAAATTATTTAAAGAAGAGCCAGAATAAATGTCTCTCAGTAAATATGCCCAATTTACTAAATCTTGCTTTAATGTGGCCAATTTAAAAAATATATTTCAGCTACTCAGTTCTTTGTAAGATAGAATATCATTTTAGGATTGAAAAGCCTTCATAGATTTTTTTTTTTTAAAGAACAGGAAAAATTGAAGAAGTACATTATAGTATAACTATTGTTTGCTTTTATGAGTTTGTTGAATCCAGAAAATCCTTAGCAACTTCTAATCCAAGGTACCAAAGGTGTTTAGGGACCAGAAAGATGTTTAAAACCTGGTCCCTACTGTCAAGTCTAATGAACAAGGACTTTCTGTATACATAGCAAAATATTCAAATGTGTAGTTGTCTTTCTTGAGTTAAACGTCAATGACCATATTAATTTTCATATACATAAACTTTTTTGATTATTGCAAAGATACACATAATGAAGATTTTTCTTTCTTTTCTCTTTTGTTCCTCTTCACTCATTGATATGTAGCGCATTCATGTGGTCAAGTTTTTGGTCTTTTTAAAGATAATAATGAAGGCAACTGGATTAATATACTAGTGATGCAGAGGTATTCTCTTGGGCATTTTTTGATATATGAGAAAGTCACTTTACCAATCACTGTTATTGTAGCATCACAATAATTGGGTTAATTGCTGTTTACAGGTGATTTCTAGCTTGTCTCATGCCATAGGCAAGCAAAAGGAAAGGATAGAGCTGATGAGAACATTCTTCCACTGGCGAATTGGCCATGTTAAATGCAGACAGGATGTAAGTATGGAAACTGACAGATTTTAGACTTCTGAACTCAAAAGGGTTTAGGATCACATTTTAGAGTTATTGTGAAAGCCAAAGAAAGATTTGTTTTCTAATAAATCAAAATGAATTTATAATTTAATGTTGCTCTTATTTCAAAGGATTTTAGTGTAGTTTGGGAAAAAATACCTCATATTTTGTAGACCAATTGATCTGTCGTTTCCTACTTTGTAGTAAGTTAGTAAGGATTATACTTGACTTATAGATGCCCTCTTCATGGAACCCCTTTAACAAATTTAATGTCAGATGTGATTATGTGGAGAAAGAATTTATAATCTTTAACATATCATATGCTTCTTATATTGTTTCTACTTCAGAAATGCCTGAATATATCCTCTTCATAAAGAGGCAGTACTGTATCAAACATTTGATCCTTAGAGAATCAAAGAAAGCTATGTCTATGTAGCTTCATAAAAATTATCTTTCCTTTATAATTTAAACTTGAACGTCTTTATTTTCATTAACTAAGAGCTGAATCAGTATAGCAGAGTAAATATAAACTAAAAATAATAAATTACTGTATCAGAAGTGGAAAAGTATGAGAACATATGTATATCCCACAAGAAGACAGTATAGAGACTCAAGAGTATAGAGGATTGATGTGTGTGTGTGTGTGTGTGTGTGTGTTTTATTTAATGCTCACGTGAGCCATAGAGTGATCTCTGTGTGCTTACTTCTAAGAGATTAATACTTAAGGAAAAGGCTGCTACTATCATGGAACAGGATTTCTCTTTAAAGGATATTTTCTAGTGCTTTCATTGTTTTTTATTAATCCCGGTAGATTAATTCTACACCAGTCATATTGAAAAGAGCTATTTAAATGAGAATGTCATATTTTGAAAGTGAAATAATGAGAATATGTTTAAATGTTAGTGAAATAGTTGAGACTGCCATCAGTTTTTGAATAGCTTTTTAAATTTAAGAAAATTGAAATTGGAACTACTTCTTGAAAAGAATTTAAATTCATTGATAAAAAGAAGACTGGCATATGCTTCCATCTGGAGCTGTTTAGCACTCTATGGTGGCAAAGCGTGTGAATTAAGTTAGCCTTGCTTATGGCGGCGGCCACCAGGATGAAGAGAAAGTAGTGGCACCTGAAGCCACGGGCACCACCCTCTGGGCCTTACAGCCACTCTCTCTTGTTCATCTTGGCCTGCTTTCAGCTAAAAGGTGCTACAGATTCATAACTCCGAGGGCAAGTTACTCGTTTCCTTTCATTTGTTATTTTGTTTTGTTTTTTCCTCCTAACCTGATTGGTGGCATACAGCAGTGATGTAAGGATAAGAGCTTAGGTTCTGAAATGAGGCGAGGCTGGCTTTTCCCTTTCTACTTGGGTGACCTGGGCAGGTTACGTAACCTCTCTAAGCCTGTTCTGTCTGCAGATGAGAATAACGTGATCACACAGGCTTAGATGGTAATGTATGTACACTGCTTACCACAGGGTTACATTGTTTTTTTTAGTATCCCTGCCAATGTATTTACCAGTCACTGTGTTTTTGAGGTTGTGTATTACTTTCATTTAGGTCTACGAAGGTAAACTAGCTGACCAGTACTTCCAGAGAACTTTACTGAAGAAGGTCTGGAAAGGCTGGCGGTCTGTAGCACAGAAGCAGTGGAAAGAGGTAGTAGAACGAGCTTGTCAAGCAAGAGCGGAAGAAGTTTGTGTCCAGATTTCCAATGATTATGAAACCAGAGTTGCTGTGGTAAACTTCTTTTCATACTTTGACTTTCTTTTAATAAAAATTTAAAAAAAAACTTAATACTTAGGCAGAGTAACCCATTTCCAGTTCCATTTAGTGCCATGTAGTTTCAAATTAGACATCCTGGCAGAGAACACTAGCAAGTCAGACCTGCAGACTAACTTAACTCTGACCTCCAAATTTGTGTTGGCTCTCCTGCATGTACGTTTCCCTTGGAAATGTAAATCACCTATAGACCCTTATATTTCTAAGAAAGCATGCTTTCTTAAGATTCTTCATTTGGCCTTTATTGAGCCAAAAGTAAAGACCCAAAACAAAAATGTTTATCCTTATGTTAATTTAAGTAAATTATGTTCTGATAAGGTTGATGTAAAGCAGTTGCATATAAACTGAAGTTATTTTCCTATTGACTTTTAGTAATCAACATTGTTTCCAAAGGAAAATATTTGAGGCCCAAAATGAAATAAAAATGCAGTAGGCCTCTTAAAATCAAATAGTAAAAGAAAACCCTTTTTTCATCATTATAGCACTAAGTTCTTAACGTTAAAAATAAGATTCATTGTACAAATAATTTTCTGCAATTCAAGATGACATGCGAACAAAAAACAAAAAATGGCGGTCCCTTCAGATTTGGTCTATGGGATAGAGTGTTGTACTTAATGTCACTTTGCACTTTAAATTCTATAGATAACGTTTAAAAGGAAGGAAGGAAGGAGGAACAGGAAAGAAAGATTCTGTTAATAGTGCATTTAGGTATTTTTTTTCTGAAGAGATGACAGTCTGTCTGTGGCTCTTAATGTATTTTGTTTAATATTCTACATAAGTTTTATGGTAAGAAATTACATATCTGTTTGGTATAATTAAAACACATCAGCAAGATTTGGTGGGACCGGCATGAAATTCCCCTTGTTTGAAACTTGATTTTATGGTTAGAAATGAAAATGGCTTTTTGATAGAGACAGTAGAGGTAAAATGCACCTTTTAAAATTAATTGAGATACATAGCAGAAGAGGTATGTGGTAAAGTGTTTTTAGTATTTCACATAAAATAACTTCAGAGCCTGACAAGATGGCCACACTGCCAATACCAGCAAGTACTCCTGCCACTACTCCAGCCCTGGCCCTGCCCCTGGCCCCAGCCCCAGCACTGGCTCAGCTCTAGCCCTGGCACTGGTTCCAGCTCCAACACTGGCTCCAGCCTCATCCCCAGACCCAGGGGCTAAAGCAGCTAGGACCATGGCTTGGATCCAGACCCGCAGTCCTCTTCCCTTCCCCCTGCTCCCCCCGCAACCCCCCCCCCACAGCCATGTGGTCCAGCCACACCAGGTCATTTTGGCATCCATTGTGGAGAGCCATGATGCAATGGGGGCACTGCCCCAGTTATTGAGACCCTGCTGAGAACTGTTGCCAAGCATTCAATGGAAGTCACTAACAGCTTTTCAGTACCTCCCAATGAGTCAGAAGATGAGGTAGCTGTTGACATGAAATTTGCTAAAGAACATGTATGAATTACACAAGAAAGTCTCTCCAAATGAGCTCATCCTGGGCCAGTACGGCGACAGGCCATGATGTTACAGAGTACCCTGTGCTGATACATGAGTACTATGGCAGGGTAGTCTCCATCCCCATTCACCTCATTGTGGATATGAGCCTCCATGAGCATAAAGGCCTAGGTCAGCACTTTAATGGGTATCCCTGGGAGTACCCTGGGGGTGATGTTCACACCTCTGACAGTGAAATATTCATATTATGACACTGAACACATTGGAGTCAACCTGATCATGATGACCTGTTTGAGACCCAACCAGGTGTTCACACTCTCAAGCAATCTGCAGCAAGTAGGAGGGACATTGGTTCACATCCAGATGCCCTAAGCACAGGGTTGCAGTATACAGAGGATGTGCTGTCTCAAAAGGTGTCAGCTGACAGTACTGTGGGCCGTTCCTTGAGGAGCCTGGTTAACCAAGTACCCAAGATAATTTCCAATGACTTTGACACCATGCTCAACAGCTACTTGGCCAATCTCATAGAGTCACAGATTACCGTCACTGAGAAACTTATAAGCCTGTGAATGGGCCCCAAGCAGCACTCCGGCCAGTCTGGGCCACCCTAGGACTCAGAATGGAGTGAAGTAGAATGGTTTCCTTGTGGTTTGGGTCACACTGAGTCAATCAACTCCTTGTGACTCTAAATAAGCATAGCCTGCCTTTTGTAAAAAAATAAATAACTTCACAATGTAGTCTATTTTTTGAATTATTAATATCCTTCCGTGTGTCTCAAATCTTTTTCTTCTTTTTAAAAATTCCCCTTATTTAGTTATCTGGAGCTTTGGAAAATGCAAAAGCTGAGATTCAAAGAATGCAGCATGAAAAAGAGCACTTTGAAGATTCCATGAAGAAAGCTTTCATGAGGGGTGTGTGTGCATTAAATCTCGAAGCCATGACTATATTTCAAAACAGAGGTGATACAGGTTAGTATTTTGTATAAGGTTCTCCGCCTACTTTCAAAAAGGATTTGAGGAGATTTCAGTGATTGGTGTGGTCTGTAGTACTGATTTTCTGCAATGACTATGTCTTATCCTGGTACTGGTATTTTTAACTTGATGGTGTCATATCTTTTTAAATCTGCCATGAAAATTCACCCAGTTTTGGTTACTTATGGTATCTTAGATCTGGTCAAGTAAACTGTCAAATCTTAAGTGTTTTAAATGTTAAAATGATGTTTCGAATACCAAACATTATTTTAAGGCTCTTTTAGCTAATAATTGCAATGCTTTCAAGTACAAAATTTTCATTTATTTATTTATTTTTAAGTAGCCAAATTCCTTGGACCATTTTGTTGATTAAATATTTATCTAGTCATGGTTTCCCATTTTAAAAATTGCTTGTTTTCAATTTAAGACCTCAACTAAAACTAATTTTCAGCAAATATAAATATAGGCCTATGTACAGAAGTCAAGTAAAATACTTTTATTTCAAGAAAAGAAAAGTCCACGTTTTGGCTGGAATCTGTGTGGTTTATGTGGGTGTTTCTTCAGCAGGGTTTGGAATAGCACATGACTAGAGTCTTTGCCACTAATTTGGACCGAGGCCTATTTTCCTTAGTGGGTTTTAGTTTTCTTCTCTGAACAAAGAAAATAATATAAATCTTCCCTACCTGCTTCACAGAGGGTTCTTTTGGAAATGCAGTGAAGTATAATTGGAAGCTCTTTAAAAGACAAAACATACTTTGACATGTAAGATGATAGCAATGATATAATTATTGCTGTCTTGATTCAAGTCAGCCTGTTTTATGTAAATACATGAACATTTTTTGCAGTATATCCTCATATTAAATCATATTTGAGATTCGCAGTTTATTTATCAATGAGACAATTTCATTTTGTAATATCAACATTCCAGTACAGTGTGAATAACTTTTCTGTGGTTGTCATACCTTCATTTTAAAGCATCTTCAAACATTTATTATTTAAATTGTGTGTGTTGTTGATACTAGCAAGTTAAGGCAAATAACTTTTTTCTGAAGCAGTCATGGTGTATGGTCCCCATGTAGCTTAGAAATTTAGAATCCTAGAATCTCAGGCCAGAAAGTTTATCTTGCTTAATACCCAAAGGAGTACTTGATTTCTCCAATAAATTGTCTTTTAATTGAGTATCAACACTGCAAACAAACTCACCACCACCAGTTGTAATTATTAGCAAGTTGTATATATTAAATTGAAGAATTTAAGTATCTACTTATAACAGACCTAGATTTCACAAGTTAAGTGACAAATTATACTTCCTACATTCAATTGTAAGAGACCTGTTTCTCATAACCTACAGAAGAAGGTTATGAATTGACTAGGATGGAGTGTTTTACCACCTTAATAACTTTACTGTCTTAAATTTTAAATTCAAATACAGCTTTCTCTCCTACAGGCAAATATCCAGAACAGGATTTGGAGAAAATGTATTCTGATAATTACACAACATGATTTGTTTTGCCCCTGTTGCTTTTAAATCTCCTTTTATCTGCAGCTAATGCCAAGTCCTGGGATCTTAACTGTGTGAGTGGCCTGGTGGTTTGTTTATCATCACACGGGGGATAAAAATGACAGGAGTAGTAAGACACACACTAGCAGTAGCGTTGGTAGAGCTACCATACCAAAAGCAAAAGTTCAATGTTAACTAATGCTAGGTTTGCTCTGTGATGTGTAACTTTGTGGCATTTCATTAACAGCTTTAAAAAAATTTTAATTCTCACAAGAAAAAAAATTACTTCTGGCCCTTCTTCCCCTAAAACAACTGTTTTTTATAACACAGTTTTTAATAATGTTCTATCTATCTTGTCATAACAGAATACTTGGTTTTTTGTGTGTCCTCTCTGCTGTCCATGATCTGCAGTGCATCTCATGCTGTGTAGTATCCTAAATCTTTAAAGATTAGAAATTAGAAGTTTTATGAAGAAGGCAAAATGTGACAATAAAAATGGCCTTTAAAATGGTACCTGCCAAATATTAAAACAATTTTAGGAACAACAGAAAAATGCTTTACAGATGAAAAAACTTATCCCAGTTAAAACGAGAATAATTATTAACCTTACGGTGATTGGCCAAAAAGGAACTGCATAAATCAGCCCACATTAGCAAGAGTTAGTCAGCTACCTCTATTCCAGGGAATCCCAACGTGAGAACTCACATTTGTACTGGCTCCACATCTAAGAAGTCTGCCACCCACCTAAAAAGACACAATCAGAATCACTTGCTATCAAAAACATGTTAAAATTCTGTATGTGTGTTTTGTTTTTAAAGTAAAAGCAGTACTTTATATTGAATTAGTCCCTCTTCATCAAAGGATTTCAGAGGATCTATGCATTATAATCCTCATTAAACGTTGTTAATGAGGTACTATTACTCTGTTTTATATAAAGATAGCCTAAGAGAAGGACTTACACAGAAGCCCAAATTTCCAGTACAAAGAGGACAACATCAAAAACCATTTAAACGTAGGGCTATTTAACACCCTCTCTTCAGACATTCTGAAACATCTCAGTGACTGAATTTCCAAACCCTCACCCTGGTGTTAGATGCCACATAGATACAGACTTAAGTGGAAATTTTAATACTGGGGTGGGGGGGCGGAATCTAAATTTTGAAGAAACGCTTTGCTCTAGCTTCTGGAAGCCAATGTTACTCCTTTGATCTAAGGGTAAGGTTCATTTTTGAGAGAAGGTTACTATACAGGGTGTCACTAAAATCAGTTAAGTGTGCAAATATACCTTAATTCATGAGTTATATAATCTGCTTGCAAGAACTGATTTCTTTTACAATGTTAAAAGTAAAAATTTTAGTGTTACTTACTGATTTATTATTGTGTGCTGAAAAATCAAGTTTAAAATATGTTGAGTTTGTTTGGATAGGAACAAGAGATGGAAATGAGACGGTATAGTGATACCAGAAAAAAAAATTCAACAGTTCTAAATACCAGGCCATCAATCAGGACAGTTGTATGAAATGACGCAAAAGGACATAAATCCTTAGATTGATTGTGACCATATTATTATAATGGCTGTTTTGGCAATACATTTTACTCAGCTGATATCCTAGCTGAGTACACACTTGTTTTTATCTTTTACATAAGAGCAAGTCTTCATTAGCTTTCACATATTGAAGAAAATGGTCTGAAGTCTTTAGTGGTTAGTGCTAACATTACCCAGTTAATAATGCTAAACATAGTATGCAATACATGACAAATTTCTACATTTTCTTTAGAACCAAATGTTAGCTATTATGTATTTTCATTGTTGGGGGGCATGAAACGAATCTTAACCTGGAAGAATTTTAATGGAATTAATTTGTAATTTATAGGGATAGACTTCACAAATAGAAAAGAAGAGTATGGCCCTGGCGTTCAAGGCAAAGAACATTCTGCTCATTCGGATCCTCTGGCCCCTCCAGTGCCCCCAGTGGTTGCACTGCCACAGTCCCCGCCCCCAGCTGCCATGGGAGCGGCCGGCGCCGCTGCTTTTCCTTCCGCCGCTTCCATCCCGTCGGCTGGGGCTCCTTCCACTTCCTCTGCTCACCTTCCTGTTTCTGCAACTCTTGGCGCTGGGTCTACAGCGGCTGCTGCACCAGAAGAAATGGTTAGTACAGGGACTACAGGTGCCCACGTGGGGAAGGGGGCTCAAAACTTGCTCGTATATTGGAGACTTGGAACATAGAACCTATTCTCTCATGGAGGAAAAGTCTGTATGGTATTTAGGCCCAGCCACAGAAAATAAATTAATACACGAAGTAGCTAAAACAATTTTTTTTAAGATTTTATTTATTTAGAGAGAGAGAGAGAGAGTGAGAGAACACGAGAGGGGGTAGGGTCAGAGGGAGAAGCAGATTTCCCACGGAGCAGAGAGCCCCATGTGAGATTCGATCCCGGGACTCGGGGATCATGATTCTGAGCCGAAGGCAGTCGCCCAACCAACTGAGCCACCCGTAGCTAGCTGAAAGTTCTATTATAGTAGTGATAATTAAAACAAAAATAAATTTTTTATATCACATTTTTCAAGAACTATTCAGGAAAATAGATTAGAGAAAGCTGATGACAGGGCGCCTGGGTGGCTCAGTCATTAAGCGTCTGCCTTTGGCTCAGGTCATGGTCCCAGGGTCCTGGGATCGAGCCCAACATCGGGCTCCCTGCTCAGCGGGAAGCCTGCTTCTCCCTCTCCCACTCCCCCTGCTTGTGTTCCCTCTCTCGCTGTGTCCCTCTCTGTCAAACAAATAAAAAAAAATCTTTAAAAAAAAAAAAAGAGTTGATGACAGACTATTTTGAAGGGAACTCTAGTGCGTATTTCGAAGGGCTTAGAAGATTAAGGGCTCCTTTGTATATTTGTATTCAACTACAGCTTTGCCTTTTCCTGGATGTAGATATATCGTTAACACTACTCTGTAGTTACTCCGTCTTGATTTGATTAGGTTGTAATTCACGATTGGAATAAAGATGGAAGTAGTTTTTCCTAGTCACTGAGCTACTTGCAAGGGAAGTACATAGAGCATGGAACTATTGAATGGGGTTGGAGTATTTGTGTGAGAACTTGCCTGAAGGGAAATTAATCAAGCTAATTAATATGGAAGAGTTACAAAGCATGTCAGGGTTCTGACTCCTGAGCCTCCTCTTGTTAAACCTGTATTCTTCAAACAGCGATTCTCAAAAGTGAAGGGAGTGGAGATACAGTCCAAACTTACCGGACTCACTTCTGCAGGGCTTTTTTAAAAACAATGTATCCCCTTCCCTACAGGGGCTTGGGTTGGGCACAAAGGCATGTCTAGTTTTATAAAGCTCCTGAGGTGATTCTGATTTGCTTGTGTCCCTCTCCTGCTGGACCCTAACCACTTACCTGAGGGGACAGAAGATGGCAGAATAGGTTTTATGTCTTATGGCGCCCCTGGCAGACCTTTAGAAGCTGCCATTGCCCTGGACGGCTCTCTGGAGCTAAGGAAGGCATTGAGTCAGTCAACTGGTCATCTGGAGTAGTCCAGCCGACATGAATTTCTGCCTTTTGGAAGCTATTAACTTCAGGGAAAAATATGTTGAGATCTGATGCTTATCACGTTTGCTCTTGATTCAAAGAGGTTAAAAAATATAGCTGTTAAGAGAAATTTGAATGTGTGAGGGAGTTTTGACTTAGAAATAAGACACTAAAATTCAACTCTGATGTGTTCAGCTGTGTTTATTTTTCATGATTACACATTTTCAAGTGTGATCCTATACAGATGATCTCATTTAAGTAAACACAGTGAGTGTTTATTTAAATTTCTGGTTTGTCATTCATGTTGCATATTCAGATAATACACAGACCTGGATTTTTCAAAATTCCCTTCAAATATGACTACACCATTCGTACATCTGCATTTATATATAAACCTGAACATGCACAGGAAGAACTGAATGAATGAGTATGCTTACCACCCTATTTGTTACTTTTTTAAACCATTTGAGATAATTTTGAAGTCTTTGAAACCTGAAAAACACAATATTGTGTAGACAGCCCTTCCAGCTACATCCTCCTTCATTAATAGATACACATTCAATTTTGTTCACATAAATACAGCCTTTAGGGTTAGGGGGAGAGGAAAATCAGAAGTAAATCACTCTAAGTATAATGCTAGTTTTCTTCCTTCCTTATATAATTATAGTCATCAGATTCAGATTCACCTCAAATGTGTCTTCTTGTTTTTAAAAAGAACCATAATAACAAAAGGAGGAACAAGAATATTAGTTGGCTAACTTACCTATGTGAAACCATCATTGTTAGGACTAGGAAAGGAGAGATTTGTGAGGTAGGCCTGGTTACCTTTCTTTTCATTTTAATCACAGAGGCTTCCTAGGAACTATTCAAAACTTCTTCTAGTCTTAGTATTTTCAGTTGCTAAAAGGAGGTGTTTACAGAGAATAAACTGCAGAGCCTGGGAAACAAATAACTGGAGAAAGGAGGATTACCATCCTAGTAAAATAACACCTTCATCTGTAAAATTTTTAATTTCTGCAGACATCCTCAATATGTTAAATAACATACCAGAATTTCATGGTGGAAAGCACTTTTCAAGAACTACATTAGGCATACACAAGCAAATATGTTGCAGTTCACAAGGCTGGACAATAGGTGGCACTTTATTTTTTCTAACTCCCAGTTGGAATAATTGAGGGGTTCCAGTTGGATTTTTAAACTCTTTAGTAAAGGTGCCCTCTTAACTTTCCTCTTCATCTGAATGGAAAGTGAGAGGGTGTCTTAGGCACCCAGCACTGCTTTCCTCATTTTACAAATGGAAACTGAGGTTTAGGGAGAGAGAGGGAATAACTTGCCTGTGGACACAAGCAGTAACAGAGCTGGAATTCAGACTTTGACAGTTTGGTCACAGAGCCCTGTTTCTTAACCGATAATCGGGTTTGTCTCCATGTCAAATATTAAGAAACAAATACTGAGGGGTGCCTGGGTGGCTCAGTCGTTAAGTGTCTGCCTTTGGCTTGGGTCATGGTCCCGGGGTCCTGGGATCGAGCCCCGCATCGGGCTCCTTGCTCAGCGAGGAGCCTGCTTCTCCCTCTCTCACTCCCCCTGCTCGTGTTCCCTCTCTCGCTGTGTCTCTCTCTGTCAAAATAAATAAAAATCTTAAAAAAAAACACACAAATACTGAGTTTTAAAAAATATGTCATTTCCCTTTGCTTTCTTAATCCTTTTGATTTTGTTGCATTTGTTGATATGGCATAAAATGCTAGAATTTCCATTTTAGGGCATTTTTTAAGTCACTTAAGCTGATAAATTTAATGAGATCCAACATGACTGGGACGAGTAAGTGGTCATTTAGTCAAAAGGTCAGTTTAAAAAAGTTAAAGCAGGAAATTTTTAAAAATTATATATACATATATTACATACCATTTTATGTTCAAACATAAGTGTATATATTAATTTGCTAGTGTAGCTGAACTGAGTATGGGTTCACAGATTGTAATTAAGCCATCTTTTTTATATAATCTACACTCAGTGGACTATTTTTTCTGTAATTTCCAGTTTCACTTTTTGTAAAGTAAAGCAAGAACCTAACAAAACTTGCAACGCAATCTGATTATAGAACAAACCATTTGAAAACAAAAAGCAGACCTGGTAAACATGCAAGTCAATTAAGACAACTATTTCAAAGAAGTGTATAGAGGTTCCTTTTTAGTCTTTATTTCTTTACTGGAGTATGTATTTCCATCTTACTGAAGGCATTTTATTTTATTTTTTTAAAGATTTTGTGTATTTCAGAGAGCGAGAGCACGAACCAGGGGGAGGGGCAAAGGGAGAGGGAGAAGCAGACTCTCTGCTGAGTAGGGAGCCCCACTATGCTTAACCCACTGAGCGATCCGGGCACCCCCTGTTGAAGGCATTTTAAAGCAATTCTCAACTGGTTGGGTGAAGGTTATCAGCCATGGGCATTTTTCCAACTACTCTAGTTTTTCTCATTCCACATGTCTCCCTCTCAAAACTTACATAGTTTTTCGTTCATTCCTTCATCCTCCAAGTAAGAACAGCTGTTATAGTTGGGAGTGTTTACACCCCTCAAATGTGACTGGGCAGGAATAAGGTTACCAGCTTAATTGTACTTCAGTTTTCAATTTTTCATAAAAATACTCTTACCGGCACATTTTATATTTTACATTTTAAAATGGTTTTTAAAACTCTTCAGTTTATAAAGTCTTTTTTATACCTTCTTTTAATAAGAAATAGGATAAAGTTTCCCTAAGGTCAAAAGCATGAATTTAGTCCACAAAAACATATTGGTAAATATTTTAGGATCAGAGTTTTGGTTTCTTAAATTCATAAGACCCACAAAAACTTAGTTTAAATAGCCAAATAGTTTCTACATTATTATAGTGAGAAACAGTTGTCTAAATATCTCTCCCTAAATTCTATTAGCTGTTTCTCCTATTTACCTTTTTTTCCCTAAATAATATGCTGATATCATCATTTCCACATGCATCAGTTTCAGACATTATCTGTTGGACTTTTTATTATGGATGAAAGAATTTGGCCTTTTTATACCACCTTATTTCTTCCCTTCCCCTCCCTCATCCACCGTATGAATGTATGTATGTATTTGAGAGAGAGAAAGCATGTGAGCAGGGGGAGGGGAAGAAGGAGATAGAGAATCTTCAGCAGGCTCCACGCTCAGCACAAAGCCGGACTTGGGGCTCAATCTCACAACCCTGAGATCATAACCTGAGCCAAAATCAAAAGTCGGATGCTGAACCAACTGAGTCACCCAGGCGCTCCTCCACTTTATATATTTAGATACAGATATTCCAGCTTTGCATTGTTAAAATTTATGATGACTATGTAAATATGGCTAAGCTACAAATGTATACTATGCCTACATTTCCTTTCTAGTACAATTTTTTATTCCTGGAACTGATTCCTTCATTTTTCTTTGCTTGGTTTTCTGTGCAACTGTAATTAAGTCTCAAATCCAAACTCTCCAAGGATTTACAAAACCTCACTGAGTGCTATTTTCCTAGAGTCCTCCCGACACACCAATATTCTATCATTTTAATTTTCCCAGAGACATTTCTCATGGAATCCACTATCTTCTTTCAATATACAGCTGTGACCATCTGTAGCTAGATGCAGATATGTAAAGAACTTCAGTGAATGAAACCTCAGATGGACTAGAACAATGAGGAAAGATCACTATTTAATAATGCTTTTGAAAAAACTATCGTTAGAGGGAAAATTAATTTAGATTCATAATTCACACTGAAATTTCAAATGTTTTAGTAAGTTAAACCCAAATAAATAAATGTTAGAAGAGTATAATTACCACAGCTGTCCAAAGCAGGCTGCTTGATTCAATTATGGAAGAAATTAATGATAAGCTATAATTTTTTAAATTTATGTGCATTGAAAAATAAAACAGATAAAATGAAATAGGGAAAATTCTATTAGATAAGTATCTGTATCAGGAGCAATTAAACATTCATCAGGAGCAATTAGACATTTTTGAGAGCAATACCCGTTCCTGGCAAGTAATTAAAGAACATGGATAGTTGACAAAATGAACTGCAAATATGAAAAATTAATAAGGGGGCTCCTGGGTGGCTCAGTCATTAAGCGTCTGCCTTCAGCTCAGGTCATGATCCCAGGGTCCTGGGATCGAGGCCCGCATTGGGCTCCCTGCTCAGCAGGAAGCCTGCTTCTCCCTCTCCCTCTGCCTGCCGCTACCCCTGCTTGTGTTCCCTCTCTCGCTGTGTCTCTCTCTCTCTCAAATAAATAAATAAAATCTTGAAAAAAAATTAATAAGGAACCACAAATTAAATCAAATATATATGTTATTCCTGATAGAAATATAATCTTTCTGGAGTATCATCCAGCAGTAAGTAACAAAAGCTGTAAAAGCTGGCATTACCTTTTGATATCATCATCTCATTTTTGCAAAATATTCTATAGAAATAACTCAAAAGGGGAATCCTCATTTACAAAAATTTGTTTCCTATTAAAATAGGAAAATAACTGAGCTAGATAAACCTCAGTTTGTTGGTTATTAAAACCTCTCATTAAAAATTATAGCAGGTCTCTGTATTCATGAGAAAAAGTATATTAACAAAGCAATAAAAAAGAACACGAAAGCATATGTCTAATGAGAAGCATATGTGTAAAATTAATTATACATAAGGATCAAAAGTGTTCATAAAACAATAATGGTTGCCAAGGGTGGTTGAGGAAGGGAAACGGATATGATTCTAAAGAGTCACAAGAGGGAGACTGTGGTGCTAGAATAGTTCTGTGTCTTGATTACGGTGATAGTTACAGTAATCTAGACGTGATAAAAATGACACGGATCAAGACTGATGAATCACAGACCTGTACCTCTGAAACAAATAATACATTATATGTTAAAAAAAAAAAAAAAAGAAGGGCGCCTGGGTGGCTCAGTTGGTTAAACGACTGCCTTCGGCTCAGGTCATGATCCCGGAGTCCTGGGATCGAGTCCTGCATCGGGCTTTCTGCTCGGCGAGGAGCCTGCTTCTCCCTCTGACCCTCTCCCCTCTCATGTACTCTCTCTCTCTCTCATTCTCACTCTCTCAAATAAATAAATCTTTAAAAAAAAAAGAAAGATAGTAGGAAGGGAAAAATGAAGGGGGGGAATCAGAGGGGGAGACGAACCATGAGAGACTGTGGACTCTGAGAAACAAACTGAGGGTTCTAGAGGGGTGGGGGGTGGAGGGATGGGTTAGCCTGGTGATGGTATTAAAGCGGGCACGTTCTGCGTGGAACACTGGGTGTTATACGCAAAGAATGAATCATGGAACACTACATCAAAAACTAATGACGTAAAGTATAGTGACTAACATAACATAATAAAATAAAGTTAAAAAAATAAAATAAACTGCTAATCAACACCAAAAAAAGAATGACATGGATCTATAATACCAAGGCATTATACCCATGGCAGCTTCTTGGCTTTGACATCATAATTATACTATACTTATATAAGATGTAATCATAGCAGGAAACCCGGTAAGGAATTCACAGGACCTCTCTATACTATCTTTGCAACTTCCTATGAATCTATCTATTTCAGAATAAAGAACTTTTTAAAAAGTTTGCAAGAAAAGAAATAAATAAAAATAAATAAATAAAAAGTTTGCAAGATCCTATAAAATGGTCGGTACACCCAAGGTTAAAGGGATGTTTTGGGGTGCTTGGTTCTTTGTTCTGCTTTTTGTCTCATTGTTTTAAGTTTATTTTTTCCATCTTACAGTTGGTTAATATACAGTTATTTTTTAAGTGCCTATGTATTTCCTTCATAAGTTATAGAAGCAAAAGTACTATATATTTTACCATGAAATTTCTACCAGTTGGGTATTTTTTTTTTTTTTTTTTAGTATGTGCCCAGAGTTGTGACATCTGCACAACAGAAAGCTGGAAGAACAATTACAGCCCGGATCACAGGGAGATGTGATTTTGCCTCAAAAAACAGAATTAGTAGCAGCTTAGCTATAATGGGAGTTTCTCCTCCCATGAGCTCAGTTGTTGTGGAAAAACATCATCCAGTCACAGTGGTGAGTACATATTTGATGACCTTTGTCAAAAAAATTTTTTCCTGAGAGTTTATAGACTAATAAAAACTTAAGCTACATGTTGAGGAGAAGATGAAAATTCATGATGACTCCTACTTGTTCTACCTTTTATTATGATACTTTGTATACTTACAATTATCAAACCTGTTCTGAATCTCCCTTAACTCTTTTAGGAAATTAATTTCAGAAACACTGTTTCTTCTCAACAGTGTAAAAATTATCAACACAAAAAGTAATTCACTGTGTTGGTGACCAAAAGAAATATACAAATGATTTCTCATTAATTTAAAAAGAAGAGACAAAAGCTGTTTACTCATTATCTGCTGTTCATGTAGCAGGTATTTGATTATAAGAAGTACTTCCCTATTTTTATAGTCTTTAATTTTGGCTTTTTTTTTTAAGTCTTCCCCTTTTTTCTTTTTTTTTTAAAGATTTTATTTATTTGAGAGAGAGAATGAGAGAGAGAGAGAGCATGAGAGGGGGGAGGGTCAGAGGGAGAAGCAGACTCCCCACTGAGCAGGGAGCCCGATGCGGGACTCGATCCCGGGACTCCGGGATCATGACCTGAGCTGAAGGCAGTCGCTTAACCAACTGAGCCACCCAGGCGCCCTTCTCCCCCTTTTTTCAGTACAACTTTCAGCATATTTGTAGTTTGGGAAAAAATTCAAGTTGCAGTAAATTCACATGATATAAAAGACAATACCTGGAATTTAAGCAAAAATAAACAAAAAAGCCTGAGTTAGTATCTCAGTTTTGCTACTTACTTAAGCCTTTGTGATCATAACACAAATCAAGTAAAATATTTGAGCTTCCATTTCCTGTTGTGTAAAATGGGAGTGTAAAGAGTACTTAGCTCCTAGAGTTATTTTCTGGATTCAGGATTAAATGAGATAATGTGAAAATTGAATGAGATATACTAAAAAAAAAAAAGCACTTTATAAATTGTAAAACCACAAGCAGATTTAACTTAATAAAAATTACTAGAGAAAGGTACATGGGATACCTCTGTATTATTTCTTAACATTGCATATGAATCAACAATTGTCTCAAAAAGTTTTAACTTTTGAAAGTTACAAGATCACGTCCTTAAAGAGAAACAAGAATTGACTTTAAAAGAGAATGCCCCCTATATAAATTTTCAGTGTTAGACAACACTCCTGTCTACTTAATATGTCAAAATATTAGCAAAAATATATGTGAAATGATTTTACATCCTTTTCTTTCTGGCAGTAGATGATTGCTAGATGATTAAGAGGAGCTGGAGTGTTTAAATTTAGCCTCAGGTAAAGAATGACCACAGTGAAGTGGAGACTGACACAGAGGCACCAAGTCCAGATGGAGGGTATGGAGGGTGGAGGAGTATCAGCCTTCAGAGGTTGCAAAGACTCAGAAAGTCCTTAAGTGACTTCTCAATACATGTTTGAATATGCGAGATTTGGTATCAGAAATAAGAAATGAACTCATTTCTATTTTTATCAGCACATATGTGTATAGAGAGGGAGAGGGACTGTCCATTTGTAAGATAAAGAAGGCATAAAGAGATCACATATATGCTTAATTTTAACTTAGGCAGCCTTTTGTTTTTGTACTAATGATAGGAATTCATATTCCAAAGGAAAAAAAAAAAACAACACAAGGAAATAAAGACTTACAACCCCTGTTTCTGAGATTTACCTCCCCAGCTGCCCTTTGCTAATTCAGTATATATAGTACTTCTCGTACTTCTCTAGTAATTGGTCGTGAACGAGACAGCCAGAAACTGCTTCATGATTACCTAAGTGGGATTATATAACAGACACTGTGGCAGTCCTCTGTACTACTTTTCTTTTTTTAAAAGATTTTATTTATTTGACAGAGAGAGAGACAGCGAGAGAGGGAACACAAGCAGGGGGAGTGGGAGAGGGAGAAGCAGGCTTCCCGCCGAGCAGGGAGCCTGATGTGGGGCTCCGTCCCAGGGCCCTGGGATCATGACCTGAGCCGAAGGCAGACGCTTAACGACTGAGCCAACCAGGTGCCCCTGTACTACTTTCATTTTATCCCCAAAATTAAGACCTGTAACTACCAGAAACAGTTACTAATAAACCAGTAGTCAGATTTCTGACACTTTAGCCCCATCTGCTGGATAATTGCTTGTTCCTAGTGCTACTTCATTTTCTGCCATATTTCTGGAGATCATGAAACCAGTGGTAAGGTGAATCTGTTTCTGCATTTCCTCTTGCCCATCCTCCCCAAGGAGAAATAGCTCTTTTAACAGGGTCAGATTAGGTTGTTAGCAACTAAATTTTCATAGTAGTTGGAAGAATCTCCTCCATCTGTAATGGTTATCCATTTATCTCTGTACAATGAAACATTTATATAAAATAGTTTTAAGACAGGAAATTATTTTTCCATTTCCTTAAAGAGGAACTCTTAAAGCAGGATCTGTCATGAAGACCTTTGTTGTAAGAGTTTTCATTATTTTTTTTAAGTAAAGGGTTTTTAAAATATCCAGTGAATGTTTTGATCAAATATATATAATTCTACTTCAAGTATTTTAAAGATGACTTTTCTAAGTGAACGACCCAACTAGGAATGTACATGTACTACTCAGTGACATGGACTGAGACCTGGATAACAGGTCCCACTTCTGCCTACTGAGAAGCTGTATCCAGTATAATAAAGGAAATCCTTGTACTTGTACATTTTACACATACGAATGCATGTAATATCTACTTGTATAGATGAAGTGAAGTCGGTTGCGCACTGACTAATGCTTTGGTGCCTGGGTCCAAGATGTTCCCCTGAGCTCTGAGATGGTATGGGCATCCTCCTCTTGAGATTTGTCCTCAGCGTCTAATTATTTGTATAGAAAGTTGTAATCCACAATAAGGAGCACCAGGCTTCTGGAAATATCTCCTCTTGTATAATCATAAAAGGTTTAGTCAGCTCCCAGGTGAACCAGGTTGAAATACGAGAGATGTGCTTTACTCGGTTTGAAGCAAGGACCAGGCAGGATTCCTCAGAGCTTTCCCATGTTCCCTGAGATTGAACTCCATTTGTTAACAGATACAGGGAGGAGAAAATTGATTGGAGTGAAGGGAGGGAGGGCTTGGGGCTGACCCTTCTCCCAAACACCATAAAGTCCATTTATGTAGTTGGCCTCTGTAAACATTACAAGATTCCACTGGAGTCCTCTTTGAGGAATGACTTCCATGGCTTTTTTTGTGATCCCCTGGAATATAGCTCTGATACTGAATTGTGGGTATTGAGCACATCAGTCTAACTTACGGATTAAGGACCACATCTTATCTGTTTTAATGGCTGCTTCACCAGCTTACTGCATGTATCTACTGGATGCTTAACAGATACTAGTTTGGTTAAATTACATATAATAAAATGGTATTTAATAGGTGTAATTTTATGGGATTGTTAAAGCATATTTTTACCTTTTCAGCAAACCATTCCTCAAGCTGCTGCAGCAAAATATCCCCGGACGATTCATCCTGAAAGTACCTCAGCTTCTAGATCCCTTGGAACCAGGTCAACTCACACCCAGTCTCTCACAAGCATTCATTCCATAAAAGTGGTTGACTAAAATGAATATGCACATATTGAGATCTTTTAATTCTTCTGGTTTTACCAAGAATTAGAAGTCTCTAGTTGTTAAAATTTCATATTCTCAGAACATCATAGATATATCATGTTCATCTTTTCAAAATTACAAGAGACTTTTTCAAGCCATACCATCCTTTGTAACTATATGTAGGATTATTTTAATGTTATTTTTTTTAATTTAAGCAATTAAGTAAAACTTTTTTAAATTAAAAAATGACTTAATTTTTTAATAGGTTCAGCCTGTCACTGATTACACCATAAGAGTTTATAAATTCTGTTTTCTCAACGTTATTTCCAAAAGGCTAAATCATTTCCAGTGTTACTGAGTAAACTTTGAGAACTTTACTAAAAATATTAAAACTAATAGAAAAATTAAGGTATTTTTATTTTAAAATTTAAAAAAAGTAATGATACTTTAATACAAAGTTTTTGTGATGGTAGTGTATTAGTCTTCATTTTCCTCAGACTATTACAATTAAAAATGGGAATTGGTGAGACCTGTGAATAATTTTAATGTTAAAAGGGAAAGATTTTTTTTTACTAGCACAAAAAGAGAGACACAAACATCAAAAAAAATTTCCTCTTGGAATGATCCTGTTTCTTTTTTTTTTTTGTAGTTTGTTTGTTTGTTTGTTTATTTATTTATTTATTTTATGTTCAGTTAGCCAACATATAGATCCTATTTCTGATGTTCTTTCTTGCCCTTCTGAAACTGTACGGCATTGAACCCTTTTTCTCTCTGAACATCTAAACATCGCCCTGTGGGGGAAGGTTTAGCACTGGGCAACTCAGCAAACCTTCTAGGCCTGGGCAGAGACTTTTCAGTGGAAGAAACTGTCTGGGTAAAAGTGGTTGAGGAAATCAAGACCAGGCTTCTAATGGTTTTATTGCTGGCTGACTGGGTTATCTTGGGCCAGACATTTAATTTCGTGAATCTTAGGATTACATCTGTGAAACAGTGAGCTGGACCTACCCCTCCTATTTCACGAAGTACTTTGGGTTACATAAAAACAAGTCCATTCTAAAGAATCTGTCCAGAGCCTCAATTTTCGTATCTTTGACAGAATTGGATGGACTTACTTAGAAGCCTCTTTTATTTTGAACATGATCTAGTTCTATGCTCTAACTTTATTATAGGAAATAGTTTCTCTTACTGCCTCACGTTGTAATAGAACATGAGAATAAATGGGAGATAGGCAAATATCCTGTTTTCTAAAGGGCACACCAAGGCTTCTCTGTACTTTTCTGAACTAAAGAATCAGAGTATTAGACCCTTCTTATGCAGCACTGTTCTGAATTCTGGCCCAGTTACCACTGTGGCAAACAGCTCCTCAGGGGTTTCAACAAACACAAACCAACAGCACCTCTTGTGCTACCCATACCTCGGCCACGCTCTTCTCTAGGACTTCACCATGCACTCTGAGTGAAGCACAACAGACCACAGGCTCCATTTGGAGCCTACTCATATGCAGCCCGGAATTAACACCCCATTGTGGTAACAGATCAATTCTTCCTTTCTCCCCTGTATGAACTGCACTGAGGTGTACTAGTCCATCCCATCTCTCAGAGTACCCTGGAAGTCAGATGATCAGTTATGCTTCATACCAAGTGGTGGCCAATTTGGTATTTCACCCTGGTCTGGGCTCTCCCTCCTTTCTCATCTCACTCCCTTTTTCCCTCTTGCTTCCTTGGATTTACACTCCTAAGAAACAGCTACTCGTAGACTTTGGTCTCAAGCTCTGCTTTTTGAAGAACCTAGATGACAATTAGGAATGGTTTTCAGTATCCAAGCCATAACCATATGGGCAAACTAAAGGGAATATTATGAATATTGAAATTAAGAATATCATAAGCATCTTTTTAAACTTTAAGCTCTAGAAATTGTATATTGTTCAAAGCAGAATCAAATAATTAGTGTTAGCCTAATTTAACATAAACACCACAATTAAAACACTTATACAGTAAGTGTGTATTCTATTTGTTTACTTTTGGGTTAAGAGGTTACTCAGATTTTGGAAGAGGGAGTAAGTAGCATGGTCAGTGGAAACCAGGCATACTGAAGAACAGATCGGGGCGGGGGGGGGGTGTGCCTGGGTGGCTCAGTTGTTAGGCATCTGCCTTCGGCTCAGGGCATGGGATCGAGCCCCGCATCGGGCTCCCTGCTCGGCGGGAAGCCTGCTTCTCCCTCTCCCACTCCCCCTGCTTGTGTTCCCTCTCTCGCTGTGTCTCTCGCTGTCAGATAAATAAAATCTTTAAAAAAAAAAAAAAAAACAGATGGGGACAAGACTTTTCACTGAATACCTTTCTCTTAAAACTTTTTGCCTGTGTGAACATAACTACCTATTTTAAACATAAACGTAAGTGGGCCATTTACAATCAGCATGAGACAAAGATGTAAAACTATAAATTCATGATAGAATAACTATACTGATACTGCTCATGATTTTATCTCTGGCCTTGAAGAATTAAGCGTCAGAATTTGAGAATGGAGAGCCTTAAATTATAATGAACAGGTGCACATAAACTGATACGAGTTGATACTTGATTTCATATTTATTTCATAACTTTCTCAGATTATAAAAATACTACATGCTGACTGTCAAAAAAACCTGGAAAGTACCAAAAAGTACAAAGAAAATGAAAATCACCTGTAATTACATCACCAAGAGATTAAAAAAACAACAAACATTGGTGTAATCACTTCTGGTCTTTTCTAAGCAATATACTACACATGTGTGTTATTTAAAGCCAACAGTAACTGTAAATTTCCAAAACTATTTCTTCTCACTGAAGAGAAATAACGAACAGTGGATGATTTCAATACTGTGAGCATGAGATTAGACATTTAACAGGCATTCAACCTTCATCTCCAATGCTGTGGAAGAGAGAGACACTCCCCATTTTATAAAGAAGGCAACTGAAGATCTGAGAACTTGAGTATTAGTATGCCCAAAGGCTCACAGTTAAGAAGTGGCAAACCCTAATTAAAACCATGTCTGTCTATTCTAAATCCCTTGGTTTTTTCATATACAAGGATGCTGCTCCTACAAACATTAAAAAAAAAAAAATGGTGTGCAAAACCTAGATTATGCTATCACATATGTTGTATCAAATGGCAGAAATGCAAAAATCATATACAATTTGCTTTAAGTAAAAGTAAAAAAAAAACTTCTGACCTTTCATTTCAGTAGTTGGAAAGTACTAATACCATTTTTTCATCCGGTAGAGCTTCTTGTCATCACCACTGTCACAGCTGAAAGGAAAATCAATACTACTGCTAGAATTTTATGGCATTAAAGAACTGAATTTAAAGGATGGTGCTGAGTGGAATATCAATTAAATACAATTTCTTTAGGCATTTATGAAACTGCACATTTCTTGGACTTTGAGTTAGTTTCATTTTTGAATTGACGGATCTTTTCTGGAAAAAATAGGATAACATTTATTATTAACAGCTAATATTTATTAAGCACTTGCTATGTGGCAGGCACTATGACTCACTTAATCCCACAACAACCTTCGACAGACAATTTTCTAGTTAGTAAAGGAGAACACTGGCACAGTGAGGTTGGAGAACTTGCTCAAGATCACACTGCCATCAGCCCTAGAGGTCAGGGACGGGCCCACACTGCCTTGCTCCCGAGCACATCCCTGCACCACTTCAGGGGACTGCCTCTTACTCTCCCCTGAGAATTCGTACAGGAACAAATTTAAAGTTGAGGGAACAATCCCAGTGCTACGAAGATAATGTCACGGGAGGAGCCATTATCCATGCACGATCCTTTGAAACTGAGTATTGGATCAGTGGTGTGATTCAGGCATTTATGCTCGGCTTCGGGTAAAACTGCATCGGTGAAAATAATGGCAGGTGTGCCTATATTTTGCTTGAATAGTTATTATTGCATAAGAGTTATAGCACCCCCTAATTTATCGATCAGTTTTGAAAGCATCTTCCCTGACAGTACAGTCTTTGGGGCAAGTGATTTTCAGCAGTAACCTCAGCTGCCCAAGTAAAAGCCTGTCTGCTCTTTTAACGTACAGATAACATTTTCGAATACACTAACTTGCAGATTTCCTCAACAGGGGCAAAATGGCCTTTTGAGCAAGACCATGCTTAGTTGTGGAAACTGTCTCTAACCTTAATTCCTGCCCTCTCCTGCTCCCCACACCCCACACACACCTCCACACCCTGCCACACATACACATCAACAGAAATCCTCCTCCACTTTTTCAAATGCCCAGTAGGGGGGTGACAAAGAGAACTGCCCGGCTAACGTGGGATCAGTATCGACTGAGTATCAACTCACCAGAGGAGCTGCTTATTCTTTATGAGCCACCGTGCTCATCAGACTGGGATTGCCGCTGTTAACGGACAGTATTGTTTCTGCTGACTGTCCCCCCACCATTTTAAGGGAGAAGGAGCTTCTGTCTTGAAAACTAACTCACCAGATAGTTCTGGGAAACCTGCGCGTACCAGCTCTTCATACAGATGCTTGACCGGAGTGGCCTGTGTCACATCAGGGTCCCATGCAGCCAGATGAGCAGAGCCTTGTGGCCGTGTTCACGGAAACTTCCCTTTCCTGTGCCACGTACATACAGTCAGAGGCAAAACCCCACATGCTGATGTCTCTTTTTATTGTGATCTTAGTTCTCACTGAATTTTCTGTATGACTGTGGTTGTAACTCATTCCTCTTCTGATGGCTGTTATATAAAAAGCCCAGTGGATGAAAGCCCTTCCAGTTCCCCTCACTGGAACTTCTTTAGGGTGACCAGAGTTTGGATTCCCTCCAGCACTTACCTTGCACCTACTGTGCTTGACACACCAAAAGAGCAGATAAGACATGAAGCAGCTGAGTCCCTGCCCAACGGTAAGGAACAATCTGAGATGCAGAGCTCTCCTTCAACGTTCAGTTGGCACTGCTATGCACCACCATTTCTCACACTCAAAGTGCATATTTCAATGGGGGATCCTGTTACAATGGCGAGTCTCATGCAGTCTGCCTGGGGCTAGGATCTGCACTTCAAATGAGCACCCAGATGCTGGTGTTGCTGTCTGTTAACCACATGAGCAGCAAACGTGTACCATCATGCTACTCCAGCTTCTGATGGAAGTATGCATCCCCTGGGCCAGGATTATTCACTGGATACCTAACCCCTGAGAGATGTTGGAGGGAAGTGCTGAGATGTGTCTCTCGCAACAGGAGTTCACAGTTAAAAACACAAAACAGGCTCCTAGTTCTAGCCAGTGTGTGTGGGAACAGGCAGATACCACAAAAGGAGGGCCTACGCTCTGGGGAGGAAGCTTGCTTGATAGACTGTTAAAGAAGTAGGTGTTTCAGGGAAAGGGAACTGTACCCATAAAGAACATACTCCTAGGTGAATCCCGTTCCTTTCCTGATCTTGCCCTTGCCAAACTAATTCTTCAGTACCACCATCAACGCATCTCTCCTTTGCTTAAAAGCCCACAAACTCCTTAGTGCCAGTACCATTACGCTGGATTGTATTTGGATTGTGAATGTTGCTGTTACCATGCCAACTAGATTATAAATTCCACCAAATGTGCACCTTGGCTTATAGAGCGGTTGCATCCCTCACCTGGTAGAGCTAAACGCATTCTAGACATTCCACATTGTTTGACTAAAACACTTTAAATCCCCTTTATCCTGCTGGCAGTTACTCTGAAGATACAGTATATTTTCAGATCATTTCTTTAGGTCAGGAGAGATTTCCAGAAGGCAACTAAATTTTCCTAAAAACTTCACAGAATGTCATATGCCTAATTACTGACAAAGGAGAAAGCTTAACAGTAAAAAAGAAATCTTTTCAGAAACTATAGTCAATATTCAACATTTTCAATGCATTATCTTCCATAATGTAGCCATAGAATTAGCAATAGAAAGTGCCATGATTTACTTTTATTTGATGTAAATAGCACGTATTCATGGGCTGTGGTTTTGCCATCTACAGTCCCAGCAATCAGTAACGCAAATTAACCCCTGAGCATGGGACTTGTTCACATCTCATAATATCCGTGTAAGGAAAGTGCTCTGAATAGAATGTTTTGCCAAGAAAAGTGTCTGCTTCCTTGTTTTTAAAGCTAATTAGCTGATTAATGCCAAACACACTTTATTTCCTAAGTTTTGGTCAAATCATAAAAAAGCAAAGCTAATGACTCCAGCTGACCTGACCTCACTAATTTTGACAGCTGGAGTCTGGCTGAATTGATTCCATGGCTTGGGATCTTCTACTCGGGAGAGCCCTGAGTCTGTCTCCCACATTTCTCATGGGACAGCTGGTCTCACCCAAGAACTCTATACCCAGATGTGGCTTGGATTCCTCCTGGAGTAGAAGCCCTAAACAGTGAGCCTTTTGTTAGAGAATGAACCTTTTCACCCCAAGACAATCTCAAGGAACACTACGAGAGGTTGGTTTCCCAGGGACAAGCCAACTGTTAAGTCCTTGCTTCCTTAGTGCCTATTCAGTTGGGAACCTTCATTTCCTTAAAAGGGTAAATGCCAACTTTTCAGTATGGCTCAATAAAAAGTAATTATCCTTTGCAAACTTCAGTTTATTGCGGAGTCCATGAATGTTCATGGTTTGCAAAGTTCTCAATCATCTTTGTGGTCCTAAGCTAACTGTCCCAATTCCTGGGCCCTTGTAGTCTGCTTGTTGTGAGCACCAACCACTTACTTGGAAGATCTGCCACCAGGAAGAACTGCTGCTCCTTCCTGTCTGCATTATCTAGGCCACGCTCACCTGACCACTGCTCCTCAATGGCTCTGATCTGGTCATCTGTAAAGTTCTATGAATGGGCCAGCTTCTGCCACTCATTGGCCTTTAGCTGATGGTAAGCCAGGTTCCAGAGAAGACTGCAAATATGTCTGGTCTCCAAACTGTGATCTTGCTTGAATGTCAAAGTAAAGCTGGTTGATGGGTCCCTGATGCTCTCACCATGCTCCTAAATTAAAGGTAACTACGTTAGACGATTCCAGACATTTTCTGCTTATCGCCTTATTTCATGGTATGTACACAGTTGTCCAGATGTACCAGGTACGATGGTCCCCAAGACTTACGTTTTCAGTATTATCTGTACCTGGATCGCTTTCCGTCACTCAGGATGGAGACAGATGTCTGAAATGAAAAGCTTGAGTACTATCTGTCTGACAAAGGAAATGTGAGGGGGTTTGCCATGTCGTATGCTTCTATCCCAGCTTGCTGATGTTTATTTACTCACCCAACAGAAGACAGAGGGGGTGCCTTAGCTAAGGAAATGTCACAACAATAAATTCATCTTTGAAGTCCTTACTTGCAGCCAATATCCCCTGTTCTTCTTGTGTGTGTTTGATTTTCTCATATCAGAGATTCAGAGGGGCGCCTGGATGGCTCAGTCGTTGAGCGTCTGCCTTCGGCTCGGGTCATGATCCCAGGGTCCTGGGATCGAGCCCTGCGTTGGGCTCCCTGCTCCGCGGGAAGCCTGCTTCTCCCTCTCCCACTCCCCCTGCTTGTGTTCCCTCTCTCGCTGTGTCTCTCTCTCTCAAATAAATAAATAAAATCTTTAAAAAAAAAAAAAAAAAGATTCAGAGAGGCCCAGATTGGATATACTCTTAGAAAGACCCCAAAGCTGATGCCTCCACTCATCCTGCTCTCTGGTGTGAGGAGAGCAAAGTAGAAGCCTAACTCTGGGGACCGAAAGAATGGAGAGGACAGGGGTCGATAGAATTTTGTTTTAAGTCACTGCAGCCAGGCTTAGTCCAAATGCCCTGTGCCTGGACTGATAATCTTGTTTTCTCAGTTTCCCAAGGTTCCTTTTGCCCCTTCTGCAGAATGCAGCCAAAGAAACTGGAGAAAAATCTCAAAGTGAAAGCAGGTGTCATGGTTTCCTAGAGCTGCACCTGCTGTACGTGCTGTCAGGCCTCCAGATCACCGTCCTTCGGGAGGCTGCAGATCAGTTAAGGACACACAGGACACACAGCCCAAGAAGATTGGGACTTACTATCTACTCTCCTTTTTCATATATGGCAACTCCTATTTTTGTCTTTCACTTAATTAAAAATGAATCTTAATGAAAGATAATCTGAACAGCAAGACAGGAGTCCATGCTGGGGCAGGAAGTGGACTAAAATGATACGGGCACCTGGTTGCCAAAACCTGAGAAGAACGTGGTGGGGCTTGCACCTCCGCCCCCATCACAGAGCAGTCTTTGTCTTTCATAGCATCTGCAGTCTCCTCGGAAGGTCTCCAACATCCTGGGAAGCATGCCCAAGGAGACGGGCCAGTATTTTCTCTAGTATCTGGACCTTGTGAAAAGAAGTTGGACTAGGAATGGGAGATATAAATTACCCGTAATTGTTTCAGAGGTTGTAAAAGGCAGGCAGGGTCTACCCTGTCCCAACCTTAGCTTTACTCCCGCAGTGCCTAACTCCCAGGGAGTCCTGAAAGAGGAAGGGCTGAGGGTGAGGGATCCCACAAACTTGGGAGCCGTGGCCACTTCACTTTTTCCTTTTCTCTTCGTTCCCTCTCCTGAAACAATGAGGATTCCAACAAGAACAAAACCTGAAACACCACAAGATAGAGGGAAGAACTGCAAAATGCATTAACCTTTGCACCACAGCATTTTTATTTCTTTGAGAAACACACATGCTCTGCATTCCAGGATTGGGCTGGGTGGTCCTTCAGGCTTCCAGAGGAAAGGGTCATGGATTTGGAAAGCCCAGGTCTTTTTCAGCAGTTCAGAGAAGCATTAATAGTTTGTCTGCCAAAGAACTTATCATATGCCAAAACTGGTGGAAATTAAAATAGCATAAGCCAGATTTTAGGAAGCTTCCCATTTGCCTCTGAACCACTGGATTTAATGATGGATATAAGAGAGGAAATTTCAATCCTCTCTTTAATGTTCTTTATTAGGAATCATTTTATATTAGGCCAGGATATAAATTTGTTAAATAAAGAGAATTTGAAATCATAATAAATGCATTTGGTTAAAAAAAAGATATAATTGTTTAATGAACAAAGTGAACTTAAAGTAAGTAATAAATAGGGGCGCCTGGGTGGCACAGTCGGTTAAGCGGCCAACTCTTGGTTTCAACTCAGGTGGTGATCTCAGGGTTCTGGGATTGAGTTGCCCTCAGCTCAGAGTTGGCTGAGTTTCTCTCTTCCTATCCCTCTGCCCCTACCCTCTGCATGCTCTCTCTCTAAAATAAATGAATAAATCTTTGAAATAAAATAAGTAATAAATATACTTGGTTAAAAACATTTAAGAATATATATTAAAAAACAAGCTTTCCTCCCACTCCAGATGTCGGTCCCCAGTGGTCACCAAGGATAACAACTCTCATTTCTGAGGGTCTCCTTCATACATTTATATATTGTATAGGATTCCCAAAGTTCATCTAACTCTCACATCTCAAAGATTTGTTAGGAAAAGGGGCTTATTCATTTGGTGGAAAAGTAATTTATTCTCCTCTAGGAAAAAGAATCTAAAAATGCTAGCAGACGTTAAAAATAGAACCAATGAATATTTCTATTTTCAAAGAAAACGTGAAAACAGTCACTTAAAAAGCAAGAGAAAATGTGGAAGTTGGGGAGGTTACCTTCAATCAAATACGGTGATGATCTAAGAAAATGAGAATGAAGCTAAGGCCAAGAAGAAGAGAATGAAGGAGCAGGAGGAACAAAAATCAACTAGGAGGAGGAGAGAGAACTTTAATGGTCATAAAAATGTTTTGTTTTACAGACAAGAAACGTTTGAGGAGGATGGTATGGACTTCAAATGACATATATGTCATATCATCCAGATATATATATATCAGGACTGCAGAGCCAATTAAATAGGATTGTGAGCAAGAAGGAGGCAAATCAATGCATTTTGCCTTAAAGGATTTAAGGGAAATTTCTCAGGATTGGCAAATGAGACCACAAACCAGGCCTGAGGCTCCTCAGGGGTAAACACCTGAGGGTTAGGACCTGAATTCTGGCACCAACCTACTGGACTAGGGGGGCCATTCAGCCTAGGATGGCAACAACCCAAAGTAGAAACTGAGCGTGGTGCCCAGTAATGCAAATCCTGCCTGAGGGCTTAGATTTCGATGTTGGAGGGAAGGGCATTCTGTTGTGAAGCTGTATGCATGGCAGCTATCAGAGGAAGTAATGATGAAAGAAGGCAGAGAGAATGTCTTGGCAAGTTTTCTGTGTTCTCAAGATGAATAAGGTTTTTGTGACTATCACAGGATACTTGAGTAGCAGCCAGCACAACGGTGTGTTGAAAACAGCAAAGCCATGAACATAAACTTCTTTATCACTCATTAGAATGATGCGAACTTTGGTTTGTCCTAGAGGGGAGGGGGGTGGGGGGATGGGTTAGCCCGGTGATGGGTATTAAGGAGGGCACGTTCTGCGTGGAGCACTGGGTGTTATACGCAAACAATGAGTCATGGAACACTACATCAAGAACTGTTGATGTAATGTATGGTGATGAACATAACATAAAAAAAAAAAAGAATGATGAGAACTTTGGGTTTGAGAACTTCCAGAAGGTACCAGAGCCAGACTCCATGACAGACGGCACAACCTGGGAGCCAGCTATGCAGGGCCAGTTAGAGCCAACACGGGCCAGCCTGCTTAGCCCAATGAGCTCTACACACCTCAGTTCTGACTCCTGAAGCTGGCAAAGGAGACGGAGGGAGGAAGCAGCAGCTGTTCGTTCCATGAATGGAGCAGCACAGGCCAAAAGGACAGTCATAATTTGACCAGGACCCTGCCCATTAGAGCAGAAAAAAGAACTACACAAACCCCACACTGCCCGTAAGAAGATGGTGGTTGCAGAAGAGCTCACTGCTGAACTGGAACCATGCTTCTTTACCTCTTTCCAGGCATAGTATCTCTCTGCTTTAATGATCATGTCCACAACAAGGCTGTGGTTGCTCCTGGAGGCCACGGCCATGGCAGTCTTCTCTTGCTAAAAGGTAAAAATGAAAGTGTCAGGCAGTATGGCCTAGTGTTCAGGAGCTCCAGTTTTGGAACGGGGGGACCTGCATTCAAATCCTGATCCCTACTGCTTCCTTGCACTTGGGAACTTGGGCCAGTCCTTAGCTCCTCTAGGTCTCAAAGACTACCCCATGGTGTAGTGGTGAGGTGTAAATGTGATCATTCATATCAAGCCTGTAGGACTGTGCATGGCACATGGTAATTATTCAAGAGGTGCTAGGTATTGGTAGTGTCAGGTGCTGTGTCAACAGGGCAGGGGAAAAGATTTGGGCTTAGGAACTGACCATCAACAGATGATATTTTACACATGCTCTATCAGTGAGAATCCAAACATTTCTCCAAGACCCCTGGGCGGGGGTCTCCCTGGCTCACTGCACTGGGGAGTCCTCGGCAAATAAATAATATGATCACACATTTTTCTACTCAGGGCTGACTCTACCTGTAGCTGAGACTTTAGTCAGTGTGCCATACTTCCTTCCCCCAATAGCCTTTTCCTTCTTCTATGGGAAAAGACCTCCCGATTTTAGCTAGGCACTTGGCCACTCCAAACATTTCCTAGCCTCCCTTGCACTTAGATATGTGACCTAAGTTTTGGTATATAAATGGAAGTGGCACATGCAATTTCTGGGAAGTAATTTTAAAGACAGGAAGGATGTTATTCTCCTTCCTTTCCTCCTCCTCCTGAGTGGAATGCTAGCATGATGGCAGGAGCTTCAACAGCCATCTTAGACCAAGAAGTTGCAGCCATGTGTTGTGGAGAGTAGATAATAAGACAGAAGATGCTGGTTCTCATTGAGAATAGTAATATCCATGACAACACTTCTAATTCATAGTACAGAATTCAGCTCACTAGACTCCTACCTAGAATTTTTTTTCTATTATACTGCCTCTAACCAAGGGTGAGGAATAGGAAACTTAACCAAACGGAATGAGCAATAAAGGATATTCTGGACATAATTTTGGGCATAAGTGGCCTGGGATCCCATCTGGTATCTTATACAAATTACAAAAGGTGCACCTTTGTCAAGATCGATATAGCTCAAAGCTACAGCACACAGTTTTACAAGTAATGTGCCCTAGATTTTAGGCAGTGTACAATCTGCACATCTATACATTTCTTTTCCTGAGCAAAAGACGGTGTTTTTCATCTATTTTTTAAATGGCACGTTAAAAATTTGCTCAGGGATCCTGAAGGTAATCAAAAATGAATGTCAGAAATAATCCCACAAAAAGTTCTTAGCAACCCATGTCCCTATGCTTAGGGATCTAGCAATTTATCCCAGTAATTCTCTCACATGGCTGAGCAAGTACAACTCCCACCAACCCAAATGATCTGGCTGTTAGTGGAGGTGCTAAGACCCAGGTGGGCCAGAAGGTTAGGGCTGACAGTTACCAGTTTCTAGTCAAAAGAGACAGTAATGAATTAGGAAGAACTGTGCTCTGCAGGCAGTTAGCAAGTCCTTCATTGCAGACAGCCTGAATTCTGGCTTAGGAAGCCATCTGTGTAACCGTGATTAGCAGCATTCAGCTTCAGCCAGTGTTCTCAAGTTCCTAGGAAAACCTTCCCAGGGAGTGTGCCATGGAGTGGAAACCCAAATAATCCTGCCGCTGATGGAGGGAAGCCCTCCAGGAGCTTGGTGACACCTCCGACCGAGAGAACAAGTTTCTGGGAAAGTCATATTCACACCAAACCCTGGCTCCTTTTTCCCAGCCCACTCTGATTCACTCTTACAGCCATTTATCCTTGGTAAAAATGGTGGGAGTGAGTAGAAAAGGTAGTTTTTATTACTTAACTAATTAGGTGTTGGGGGCCAATCATGTGCCAGGCCCAGAGAAGAAAGGGAGGAGAAGGGAAAAATGGGAAAATCAAATTGTGAGTCAAGTTACAGCACTGACGGCATTTGCCAGGACATCCAGTCCACTAGCACTGGGGGCCCAGCATGAATTCCCTTCCCAATGCTACAGGCTCTTCACCTACAAGACTGCCCCAGAGGGGTTAAGTATTAATGAGAAAGTGGAATCAAGTAGGAAGAGAAAGCATGGGAAAATATGAATGTGAACTGTTAATACTAACGCCAAATGTTAAGGGCCAGTAACAAGCCACAATGGCGGAAGTGGTGTAATTCCACCCATGTGACAGAGTTATGGGTGGTTGCGTTTTCCTTCCTTATGCTTCTCTGTGTTTTCCAGATTGTCTACAGTGGGCTTGTACTACTTTTTATGATAACTTAAAAAACTGACCTCTAGAGAAAAGTAAAATAACACATCAATCCTTCAAGTCCCACAAATGTAAAATGTGAGATTCTGAAAGAGTATGGAGGGTGAACCTTGCTTGCACTAGGAATTAAGGATGTGCTGAGCTGATGAAGACTGTGGGTGAAGACAAGAAAGGGAAAAACTGCAAGTTGTAGAAATAGTTAGCTCTGCTCACAGCTGTGGTAAAGCGCTGGACAACCAACAAGCAGCCTTGGCTTTGAAGCCTGGCTTTGCGTCTTACTGTGCGTGTGACCCTTGATATCATTGAAATCTCTTGGAAACTGGGATAATTTTGCCCACCCCACAGAACAGATGTGAGGAATGAAATAAGGTGCACGTGGGTGAGCACCTGACAGGACTGCCATACCTTGGTCTCCTGTGTTTACGCTTTTCAGTAAGCTGGAACCTAGCGGACGATGGCCCCGCAACCCTCCTGTGATGGAGCCCACCTTACTGCATCACTTAAAAAAAACAAAGTTGTCTTTCTTTAAAAACAAGTCTACACAATGCCCAAAAGGTGGAAGCAACCCAACGTCTGTCCACAGATGCAAGGATAAACAAAATGTGGTCTATACACAGTGGAATATCATTCGTCCTTAAAAAGGAAGGATATTCTGACACACACTACAACACGGATAAACCTTGAGGACATTATGCTACATGAAATAAGCCAGTCACAAAATGACAAACACAGTATGATTCTATTTATACGAGGTACCCAGAATAGTCAAATTCGTGGAAACAGAAAATAAAGTGGTGGTTGCCAGGGACTGGGAAAGGAGGAGGAAATGGGTAGTTGCTCTTCAGAGTTTCAGTTTGCCAAGAGGAAAAGGTTCTGGAGATTGGTTGCCTAACAGTGTTAACAGACTTAACATTACTGAACTGTACACTTAAAAATGGTTAAGATGAGGGACGCCTGGGTGGCTCAGTTGGTTAGGCATCTGCCTTTGGCTCGGGTCATGGTTGGGGTCCTGGGATCGAGTCCCAATATTGGGCTCCTTGCTCGGCGGGGAGCCTGCTTCTCCCTCTGTCTGCCTCTCTCCCTGCTTGTGCTCTGTCTCTCTCTGACAAATAAATAAATAAAATCTTTAAAAAAAATGGTTAAGATGATAAATTTTATGTTATATTGATTTTACAATTAAAGAATTTTTAAGTAAGAGCAAGTTTAGACATGTGTATGTTTGTTCATTGCAGCTCTTTTTATAACAGCAAAAGCTTAGGAACAATTCAAATGCCCATCGGCTGGGAACTAAACAAATTATGATATGTCCATGCCACAGTCTATTGTGCAGCTATATAAAGAAGAATGAAGAAACTCTCCTTGTACTAATATGGAAGTTTCCACTTTATATACTTAAAGGAGAAAAGCTAAATGCAGGACAATATGGAGAAGTACATCACCACAATGTAAAAGGGATGGAGGATATGGTAAGAGTATAATATATTTATGTTTGCTTGTTTATGCATAAAGAAACTGGAAAGAACTAAGAAACTGATGACAATAGATCCGTGTGGCAAGAGTAGTGTGGGAACCAGACAACTAGGGTCAGGAGTGGGTGGGACATTTTTATTGTAAAACCTTTACTGATTATGTTTTTTAATTTTTGGACCACATGAATCTATCATCTTTCCCAAATTAATAAATAATTTTAATTTTTAAGAAATACATATTTTATTATTCAGAGTAAAATATCTTACCTACATACCTCAATCGAAATCAGGATGTTTTACTGATTGCCAGGACAAAAGGTTTCTCCAATGTGTGTCCATCTCCCACAAGGGGTATGCTAAGGCTTACAGCCAACAGGAAGTTCTTCACAACCATCTCTGTTGAACACAGTGAAGGCCATGCACTTACCTTAACAATCTTCAGGTCACAGCCTGCCTTCAGCAAGGTTTCCACCAGTTCCACATTGCCAAGATCAGCAGCAACATGCAAAGGAGTCTGCTGCCTCTGCCACGAGAAATTTCAAAAATGTAATCTAAACACATTAAGGAGGGGAAAAAAACTTACATAATGAAAAGACACAGGGAATGCAGAGGTGTCCTATATGGGCATAAGGGAAAATAGATTAAGATCACATTTTTATTTTATTTACTTTTTTAAATATTCTATCTATTCATTTGAGGGAGAGAGAGAGAGCACGAGCAGGGGGGAGGTACAGCGGGAGAAGCAGGCTCCCCACTGAGCAGGGAGCCAAACCCAGGGCTCGATCCTAGGACTCTGAGATCATAACCTGAGCCGAAGGCAGACGCTTAACGACTGAGCCACCCAGGCGCCCCAAGATCATACTGTTACATAGGTACAGGGGACATTCACTGCAGTGTTATTTTTAACAGTGAAAAACTGAAAGGAAGTTGCATGTTTCACTAGGAGACTCATTTGATAAATTATGATATATCCAAATGCTGGATTAGTAAGCAACAATTAAAAATGATTTTTAAAAGATTTCAATATGAGATACTAGAATAGTAAAGTTTATAGAGACAGAAAGTAGAGTTGTGGTTACCAGGAACTGTGGGGAGGGAGAATGGGGAGTTAGTGTTTAATGAGTACAGAGTTTCAGTTTGGGAAGATGGAAAAGTTCTGGAGATGGATGGTGGCCATAGTTGCTCAACAATGTGAATGTAGTTAATGCCAACGAACTGTACATTTAAAAATGGTGAAATTTCTTTCTGGGTTAATCATTTTCTTACCAAGAGGATAACAGTGTTTTAAAGAAGTATACAAAATCACAAGAAAGTCACCCACTTTAACCTTTCACTGAAAGGATATGCTAATGTGCAGATATTTCTAAGATATTAGTACTGAAAGGAACGCTTTTTATGGTCTAGGCCAACCCTTGAACCAGAGAGAGGAAGCAACTTCCCCAGAGTCACACAGCTGGGCAATAGCATCAGTATTCTTCCAACCAGAGCACAGGGCCAACCTGCTTGGGGCATTAGCATAATTAATATCAGAAAGCATTTATTAAAGACTCACTTTTGGGTGGCAGTGTGCCCCTCTGGGGGCTCATCGACAACATCACACTTAAATGACAAACTATCAAAGGTCTATATCAACATGGAACAGAGATACAAGTGCCATACATCAAATACCAATAATATTTCATTGCGACGATACTGCTCTAAGTCTAAAAGGCAGGAAATGAACCAAAATATTAACAAGAGTTGTCTTTCTTTGGGGGGGAATTACAAACAAATATAAGTTTTTACCTTATTTACGTTTTCTTATTGTTATACATTGAGTGTATTCCCAATATAACAGAAAATTGAAATGATAAAGTCTAATTCTGTAACGGGGGGGTGGCGCAGACTAATAAACCCTCCTTCTCTGGAGTGAATCTAGCCAATTCTGGTGAAACCAAAATCCTATGTGAGTTCTGTGTATGGAACAAAGATTCTCCTCATTTGGAAATATTTGGGGCACTAACAGACTCGGACACATAAGTATATATAATAACAAAAAGGTCCTCCCCTGCCTCCCCCAAACATTTGGGATAGTGGAACACAGGGAGGAAGGTCCGTGGGGGAAGGAAGGGACGGAAGTGTAGATAAGTGTCCATTCTGCTCCCACACAAAGGAACTCCTAGGTTGGAGATGGAAGAGACTGGAGAGACCTGAGGCAGTGCTCTGGGTTCCCCAGATTCGGAAGCTGAGGGCCACCCAGCGGGTTAGGACAGGCATGCACACTGGATCTGGCCGTTCCCTCCCCTCGGGGCGCAGGCTGAGGCTTCTGTAGGGAGAGGCAGAAAGGCAAGAGGTGTCCAGAGTTCTCATCTGTCGCCAGGGTTCCAGAAGGGCTCCACCCCCCAGGGGTTTCTCTTCCTACTCCCTACAGCTCTTGGGAGAGGCAGCTCAGCCCCAGAGTTGACCCTGATTCACACAGTGCCCACTCCCATCCTCTTAATCTTCCACCTCAGCATTTGCATTTCCAGCCAGTGATGGATTCCTTTTACGGGGCATTTGATTCTGCTCCACTGGATTGAATGGTGATTTTTATTATCATTATTATTCAGAGAGGTCTCTTTTGCCTTTGGGTAAAAGGAAGACACATTTACAGTCTCTAATATAGAAACAAAGCTTCCTCCTTGTGGCAAAGGGCTACCACCAGCCAATTATATTTCATACTGAGGGAGTGGCTTTTGATTTAAAGAGCCTTTGGCGATTTACCTCTGAGCTACTGTTTATCTATCAGAGGTGCTGGGACTGTTAAGTGCAAACAGGTTTAAGAATGCACTAGCTGAACCCCAGTTGTGTGTTTGAAAAAGTATGCGTGTGCAAGTGAGAGTGGGGGTCACAGAAGAAAAGGGATAAAGAAAATATGTATATTCCACCTGGAAATTTTTAGGGTACCTTGAACTTGCTCAAAACTACCCCTAACCACACAATGCGTTGAATCATAAGAAAACAGACTCTCCGGGTTCTGATATACCTGGCTTACCTGATTTAAGATGTCAGTGTTGTGCTGTGCACTTAATAAGCTGTTCACAACTGAGATATGGTTGTTGATAACAGCTAAATGAAGAGGGGAGTCCTTTGGCTGCAGAAAGAAAGAGAAAGAAAATTTCAAATCCAAAAGATTCTGGCTTCATCATTCAGACCAAAAAGCAATTCATTTTGACAGAGATGTCCTGATAATCTCCTAGTACTGGAACTGCCCAGCACAGCAGCAGGTCAGTAGTAGCAAGTGTTCAGCATCATTTCCATCCCAAGGTTGTGCTCTCCCCCTTCATTTGTTCTAGAACTATATGCTGAACACCTACTATGGGCCAGGCTCTTTTCAGGAGGTTAAGGATTCAGTGGTAAACATGGCCCATTCTCAGGAATCTTTCAATCCAGTGGGGTAAGAAAATATTAATTTAAAAAAAATCACAAAATATACAAATTGTGAAAAGTGTTTTGGAGGAAAAGGAGAGTGGCAGGAGAGCATATGTGGGATGGGCAGACGGCTAACCTTTCTGAAGATGAAAAAAAAAGCCTTCCTGAAGAACTGACACTTTCACTTAGATAAGAATGATAAGAAATATGAAATAGGCTTAACTGCAGGACTTCTCAGTGCCTTCTAAGACATAATTTATGGTGGGAATAGCTACAAGGCGGAAAAGGCATGCACATTCAGCATTTCCTGAACTGATGTGATTTAGAGCTCTTTCTCCCCATAGCACTCTGTGGGACTAATGCCCCACTCACCCAGGGACACCATTCTCATGTGTAGCCCTCCCATGTAGATAGAGTATACAGCCGCAGGATGTTCACCAAACCCCTCCAGCCTGCTCCCCTTTCCTCCTCATTTGCGGTTAAACTGCTTGTCCTACAGCCTCACCCTCACTCACCTGGAATGTCCCAGCCCCTCTCAGCCATCCCCACAGGCAGGCTTCTTTCCCAGCCCCACCAGGTGGTCATGACCACCTCTACGACCCCACACTTAGCTCCTGCTGCTTCACCACCACCCAGTGGCCGCTGGCACATGGAGGCCTTAGAGAAAGGTCTCCAGGGGTACTGAAGGCAGCCGAAAAGAAAAAAAGGTGGGGAGAAAGAGGTTAGGTGTGAGAGTGAGCTGAGGGGCAGTCAGGGTGGAGGGAAGGCAGTGGGTGGCAAGGGGGGGGTGCACGTGTGAAAGAGCAGGGCGCTCAGAAGATCCAGGGAGGCCATGCACAGAAGGCGAGCTGAGAGCCAAGGCAGGTATGTGCGAGGGCAGGTGATGGGGACAGAGGGCAGGGTTGCTCAGGGGAAAGAGATATCAATAATAAGCACCAGGTAGGCACATGGAACATATTTTTATAATTCTAGTTAATGCATACTCACTTCCCCAACAGTTTACACTCTGTTTTAAACTCTGGGCTAATAGTTTTCATTCACAATAACCTTAGCAGTTAGATCTTCTATTCCCCACTTTATATACGAGGCAAAGGGCCGTTCCATAACTTCCACAAGGCCCTTGGAGCCAGAAAGTGGCAGAGACAGGATTCGAACCCCTATCCGACAACCTGACTCTAACACTGGCACCAGGCTCCTTCCCAGGAAACCTACCGGGAAAGAAACCTATGGAAGAGAGACGTACTGAGTGTGCAAGAGCCACACCAGGACACAGAGGAAGAGGAGAAGAGGGGGTGGTAGGACTCCACAGCTGCATAGGTCAGGCTGCCACAGGCATGAACAAGGAAATGGACATGCTGGGACTGGTTGGGGCAGGGTGGGAGGAAGGCTTTCTGTGCAGGCCTCTTCTACTAAGGAAGAATGTTCTCTCTTGAGGCACCAAGCATGAAAAAAGAGAAAGCATCCGTTGGCCCAGGGAAGTGGGCAATGTTCTTCCTGCCGGAGCCACCGGCCTTGCTGGGACCCAACTGCCCCCCCCCCCCCGCCCAAGAAACAGGAAGCATCCTTGGATAGACCAGGTGAGTTCAGAGCGAATTCCCTAACGTTGTTCTCCAAAAACTACCAGATGTGATCAAATCACATCCCTTCTCTCCAGTTCATATAATAAATAGTAATGGCTAAGCAAGATCAGAGGAAATAACATTCTCACAGGAGAAATGAAAATAGGGTAAAAAATAGAGGAATGTTTTCCATCTAATTTCAGCACAGAGGTCCTTTGTTAATGCTACCAAAGCCAACTCAAACTTCAGAAAACCTAAATCAGTAAAAAGAATTGACTTTCAAAAAAAAAAAAAATAAGATCACTCGGTAAAGAGGGGGAACATGATCATTCTCCTTTCCATTTATAGCAGTGTCCTTTTTTTCCCAGACTGATAGATTTAATACAAGAATAAAAGCGTCTCTAGACACCTGAGAAAGTTTTATTGCAGCAAATATCAATATTTAAAACACAAAGAATTCATTTTGTTCCGGAACTTCAATGACTTTCTAAAATTCATCCCTTGGATTTTATTTCTCAAAATTAAGACTCAGTCTCCAAAAGAAGTCAGTCAGCTTTCCCAGAAAGAGTTCCTCCTTTGTGAACATCTCATCCCCCCAAAGTATCTGCAAGGAGCATCTCCCCACACAGCCAGCCTCGCGGCACCAGGATCAAAGTCCATGTTACTAGAATAGACTCACTTCTGCGTTCTGGTGCAGATCAACATTGTCACGGAGAAGAGAGCTGACAAGGGATGTATGGCCATTCTGGGTTGCCATCTGCAAAGCACTGATGTTGAGCTGCAAGACACAGGTGGAAAGGGCAAGGAGGACCCCCATTACAATCCAGCATGCTTTCTGGTATTCATCACGTGGTAATTAATTAATACAATGAAATAGAACAACAATTTAAGAAATAAAATCCAATGTGCTTTTGATTATTTTGAGGGCCTCTTTTTTATTTCCCCTAAGTGTTTCCCATAGGAGAGTCCCAGGTAACACATGCCTCAGGCAAATATGAGCTAAATCCCTGTTTCCCTTCTCTAAGAAGTACAAAGTGGACAAGGGCCAAGTCTTCTCTCCATACACCCTGCAAAACCCCCCCTTGAACCAAAACGGCTGAATTGGTATTGGTCCCAGGAAATGCCTCAACAACCCCCTGCCCCTTGGCCGGCTTACCTGCAGCTCTCCCTTCTGCCAGGTCTGGTTTCAAAGCTTAGCATGACTGCTATCTTTGTGCAGTGTTCCCTGATGGCCCCTTACCCAGCTTCAGTGCCTCTCCTTCCCTGTTCTGTGTGCTCAAGTCTCTTCACTTCGTGTCCACACTAGATGGCAAAATTGCTCTTGATTATCCTGCCAACCTCCAAAAGGTTTTAGCGTGGTGCCTTGCAATAATGTAAGGTCACTGGATAGTTGCTGATTGATTAATTGTAAGATTGCTATGAGGTGTTTCTAGGTCCACCAAACAAGGTTCTATAGGATGTAACATTTTCCCAAAAATGGCTGCATAAGTAACTGCCATCTCATGTGCCTGTCTGCAATGTGAGCCTTCCACTCCCCCAACACGAGGTCTACCCTTGCATCTGGGTGGACCCTGTGAGTGCTCGGACCAATCAACAGAGTACGGCAGAAGGGACAGTGTGTCAGTGGCAGGTGTAGCCGCTAACCAGCCGGGCAGCTTCTGCTTCCTGCCTATTAAAAACCAGCTGCCAGTCTGGGAGAAGAGAGACCACACGTCAGTGCTGTTCCACAGCCCGAGCTGAGCTCCCAGCTGACAGCTGCCACCAACTGCGGGGCACGGGAGCGAGCCACCGGCGACGTCCAGCTCACTTAAGTCAAATGCCCAAAGTCCTGGCTGACACCTGACTGTGACTACATAACACACCCAAAGTAAGAATCTCTCTGCGCAGCCCAAGCCCCCAAGCCGTGAGCGGTAGATAATAGCGTACTGTCGGCTCAAGCCACTGCACTTCCGGTAGTTTCTTATGAAGCAACAGATAAGATGCTCCTAAGAACAGTACACACACTGACCACCTGGACTCTAGCTTGAGCTGCTACTAAATGTGTCTATGGCCCTGAATAAGTGACCTCTCAAGTACAGGCCTCTTTGTCTTCATCCGTAAAAAAGGACATAACTACCTGTATTAGTTTTTATTGCTGCTAATAACAAATTGCCACAAACTCAGTGGCTTAAACAATACAAATGTATTATGTTACAATTCTGGAAGTCCGAAGTGTGAAATGGGTCTCACTGGGCTAAAATTAAGGCCTTTCTGGAGGCCCTCAGGAAAATCCACTTCTTTTTTTCCAGTTTGTGGAAGCTGCCCACACTCATGGCCCCTCCCTCCAACTTCTAAGCCAGCTAAGTCCTTCTCACCCTGCATCGCTCTGACCTCCTCACCTGCCTTCCTCTTCTGCTTTAAAACACCTTTGTGAGTACACTGGGCCCGCCTGGATAATTGAGGATAATCTCATTTTAAGGTCAGATGATTAGCAACCTTAATTCCATGCACAACCTAAATTCCACTTTGCCTTGTAACATGACATCTTCACATGTTCCAAGGATTAGGAAGGGGACCCCCTTGGGGTGGAGCATTATTCTGTTTACCACATCATCATACCTCTTTTTCTCAAGCCATAGTAATATTGGGAGAATAAATGAGCTAGTAAATATGTACAGTAGTCATAACTATCATATTATTCATTTCACACACCACACACCAAAAACAAACACAAAAACTTGAGCACTTATCATGTGCCAGGCACTATGTTAGATAGTGGGGAAACAGGATGGTAAATAAGATCTCCACTAGTACATTCCAGCAGAGGTGGACAATCAGTAGACCTAGAGACTGGCAGACAGATCAATCAATCAGTAGACTGAGAATAAATCTATTTACTAGATCCAGACGTTATGAGAATAATAACAGCTCGTACTAAGTGCAACAACACAAAGTAAAACAGCAGGACTGGATGGCTACTTTCCAGTGAGTGATCAAGAAAATCCTCTAGGATAGGGTAACATTGGGGCTGAGATCAGAATGATAAGAAGTGCCCCCTCCAATGAGAAGATCTGAATCAGAAGCAAGTTTGCATAGAACCCAAAGCCAGGAGGTAGTGGGAAGAGCTGTGAGAGTCTAGCATCTTACCCCGGGGGCACCATCAACACTGAGTTAGGGCCTACAGACTTTTTAAGAGCCACAGAAATGTTTAAAACCTTTACCAAAAAAATTATTGATTCCAAGATACCCAAAGAAAACCGTGAAATTGAAGTGAATAAATATTTAATTGACATATTCATACTTCATTGATTGTTAAATGTAATAGTCATAAAATATTCATTACATTTGTAAACAATTTGTAGGTTAAATTTTTTCACCTCTTCAAATTCCCAAGTATACACAGAGTTCTTACAAACCAGAGTCAATCATAAATTAGGGGAGTTTATCATAACCAAATAATTATGAAAGCACCAATTAAAAAGCCTTTTAAAATAATTTACAGCAAAAACAATTTTTTAATGTGGAATGTTGGGGCATTTAAATATGTTTAATAAGATGTAAGGGTAGGGCCTCCAGAAAGGAGTTGTTAGCATCTACAAAAGTCTTCCCTGGACCAGGGGCATTTAGTACGACCCTGAAGAGAACCTACAGCCCAAACTCTGGGCAGCATAACATCCAGCACAAATGGAGGAAGCCTCTGCTGTCAGCTAAATCCAATAATCTCCAATTACCTTCCCAGAAATGGCTCAATCCTTTACCCCTTCCCCTTAGTTGGGGGTTAGGGCACAAAAGCAATCTCCTGGACAGCAAGAAAAATCACTGTCAAGAGGTGAAGCATTTCCAAGATCAAACACAGTAATCACCTACAGATGTAAGAGCAAAATAAGCCTAACGTGTCCCCCCAGTAATTTGTCCATGCTGCTGGTTTCTTGTTGCACACCGCTCGGGTCCCCCAGGGTCTTCCCTGGGTTAGGCGGAGACAGGTGTGAACAGCAAGTGGGGGCTGAGGCTGTTGATCCAGGAAGTGTGTTAATGAACTCAAGGGAAAACTCAAGAAAAATGTAAAAGCTGAAAAATGGACTCAGGACAATTTCCAGGCTGCCTAGATGAGGCTGAGGCTGTAAGGATATGGACAATGTGGAGTCTGCAATCCTAGTTGGGTGGGGAGAATGTGAGCATGTGAAAGCCATTACAAAGCAAAACCTCTCTGGAGGCTAACAGAATTAAGTACAGAAGGGAGGGAGGGCATAGAACAATGGAGTTAGCCAAAAGGAGTGAGCCCAATAGGACCCTGATAATGAGGGAGGCTTTTCCAGGGACTCCAAGGGTGGCTGAAGACTGAGGGCAGGGAGGCACCTGTGAATGCCTGAAAGACAGCACAGCTCTCCACACTCTGAGAATTTCATGGGCTCCATGAATTCTTAACGTGGTGTTCATTTACTGCATAAATAATGGTGCTCATTTACTGCACAAATAAGCCTGCAACTCCAGTGGGAATCAAGTCATAGTATCTTTATTTTCCACTCTCTCACAGTCTTGTCCATGTGTATATAAATTTCAGACAGTGAAGATGTATGCACAAATACATATTGGTTTTTTTTTAGTGTTCTATTATGAACATTTTTTTAAAAGATTTTATTTATTTATTTGACAGAGACAGCAAGAGAGGGAACACGAGCAGGGGGAGTGGGAGAGGGAGAAGCAGGCTTCCTGCTAAGCAGAGAGCCCGATGCGGGGCTCGATCCCAGGACCCTGGGATCATGACCTGAGCCGAAGGCAGACACTCAATGACTGAGCCACCCAGGCGCCCCATATCATGAACATTTTTTTATTGTAATATATTTAGTATTTACCATTAATATTTTTAACAGCTACATAACTTTCCAAGAAAAAGGTACACCAAACATTATTTGGCTTTCCTCTAGAATTCATAGCATGTACAGGCTGTATCTAATTCTTGGCTATTGGAGATAACTTCATTATCTATCTTAATGCATGTAGCTTTTTCCCTTTTTAAGATTATTCCCTTAACAGAATTTTTCAAACCTGGGTGAAAGGTAAGTGACAAACTGCTTTTTAAAAGCATTGTACAGATGTACACTTCCACAAGCAGAATAAAGAGTATAAAACATTACCAGTTTGGGACTCTGTTCTCGATCCTAGCGTTTATCCTTACACCTTTTGAAAAGGCATTGTTTCTATAGACATACCTCCTTTTATTGATTTGCTTTATTGCACTTCACAGATACTACATTTTTTTTTTTACAAGGTGAAGGCACAAGACTTCAGTGGAGGAAGTAACTGCAGATATGGTGGAAACAGTAAGAGAAGTAGAACTAGAAGTGGAGCCTGAAAATGTACTTAATTGCTGCAATCTCGTGATAAAAAAACTAAGAGATGGGGAGTTGCTTCTTACAGATGAGCAAAAAAAGTGGTTTCTTGAAATGGAAGCTACTCCCGGTGAAGATGCTGTGAAGATCAACAAAGGATTTAGAATACTGCATAAATTTAGCTGATAAAGCAGGGGCAGGGTTTGAGAGGACTGACTCCAATTTTTAATTAAGTTCCACTGTGGGTAAAATGCCAAACAGCATCCTTGCTCCAGAGAAATGGTTCACAAAAAGAAGAGTCAATCACTGCACCAAACTTCACTGTTGTCTCATTTAAGAAACTGCGACAACTACCTCAACCTTCAGCAACCGTTACCCTGATCAGTCAGCAGCCCTCACCGCTGAGGCCAGACCCTCCGCACCTGCCCCCCCCCGCCCCCGGCGAAAAGCTTATGACTTACTGAGAGCT